AAGGGTAAAGACCAGGGAGTCAGAAAATATAGTTAGTTGAGGTAGCTCGAAAACCCTGTGGAGAACCCCTTTAAAGAACACTTTCATCGTACGAGCGCGCGTTGCCAAAATAATGGGTCGTTTTAAAATAGGGGGCGCCAACATTCTGGATCCCCCGAGCAACTTGGGGTGTCGTACTGCGTATGCGCAGAACTTGTGCCCGTTCGGCGCCCCAAGCAGCTTGTGGGACCTGCTTCCTGCTTGTAGGTTTCACTGACGATGTTTCCTGCATGGGAGACGAAACGTTTGATTAAATTGTTAATCTTGTTGAGTAAAGTCGGAGCAGTTTTTTTTATCACTGTAGCGTTAGGGCCCCCTATTCCTCCCTGTTCACTGGCGATTGCGAGCTGACGGCGAGATTCCACAGTACTTTTTCAACTTCCATTCCACACCAATAAGACAGCTAACCTTAGCAGCCTATAAGCGTCAGCTCGTTCTACGCATGCGTTGTGAGCAAAGCGCTCTAATGTTGCGTCAAGTGAATACGCCCTTATAATGCGGCAAAGGTTTCAAGAGCAGGCTCCCGATTTAGGATGCCTGTCTGCTCCCCCAACACAGACAGTAATTATGTCATATAGTATATGCGCGTGTTACGAAAGCGTCGGTGCCTGTTGGGCTGTTCAGATGCCTTCGCCGCGACGGCCCACAAGGGAGGCCATGCCCAGCACCAGCCAGGAGCACAGGCCGGACCGCCGGAGGCACGTGCAGCAGAGCAGCAGTTCGGCATCCACGGCGAGCATCGCGCCCAGTGGAAGAAGCCGACGGCAGCCGGCGGGGACCCCGCCCGGGTCCCCCAGGCCGCCTATGCGGGCCCCTCGGCGATCTCCGCAACGCTGCCCACAGCGGTCCTCGCATCGGGCCTCCAAGAGGGCGCCACCGACTGCCCCCGCCGCTTCTGGGGCAATGGCGCCAGTACCGCGCCACGTCCCCCAGAAGATCCCCGATCAGGTATGGGTGAAGAAATATGTAGCGACTGATCTCCCGCAAAGCACTCGAGAGAGTCAATCGCTGCACTCCGCGGAGAAATCTCGGCCAACGACGAAGTTGGAAGTATGTTAAAGTCTAAAATAAAAACAAAACTGTCTGCGAGTTGGCACTGAGCATGGCGTTTCACCGACCCCAGTACCACAGCGCAGACCGTTTTAAGACGAAAGCCTTACTTGTCCTATTGAGCGAAAAATCGGAATAAATGCCAAATGGCCATAAAAACGCGATTGCGTGGCACGCGCCGCTCAATTGCCGACCTGTCCCATTACCTTGGCGTCGTCCTTGCGGTCGTCCAAGAAGTCGTCCCTGACCTCTAGGACGACTTCATTTGTCATATTACGTGAAAACCAAGCGGCGTCGGCGTTGTTGTGCCTGAAAGCTGGCCATAAAAATACGGGATCAAGCGTCATCAGCCTGATGTCATCAAGCGTCATGATACGTCATCAGCGTGATGTCACCGCCGGAGCACCGTGTGGGGAAAAGGTGCGCTTCGGACTTCATCTCTGCTCGTTGTGTGCTTCGTGCAATGGACTGTGAGGCGACCGCATTTATATCCTCGGCTTCAACATCGGCAGCAGCGTCTACATCTACGGCGGCTTCCGCAGGCAAACGTGACCGCCCACGCAAATGCACTACAGCCTCCTAAAAGGGTCCCTGAAAATAAAAAAAAAGCCCTTTTAAACAGTCTAGTTGGGACACGCGTGTCAAAAAATTAATTTTACGCGAAACGAAAAATCTTCGAGCAATATTGACGGCGTGAGATTTATTTCAAATTCTGCGCGCAAAGTCCATGACGTCACGGAATGGTCATACACTCTTTCCACCTCAACGAGATGGTCATAGACTCTCTCCACCTCAATCAGGTGGCTACCGACAAAATAGAGTCTCGCGCCGTCAATACTGCTCTATTTTCTTTTCCTTTTTTGGCCCCTTCTAGGAGGCGGTAGCGCATTAGTGTGGCCCCGACGTCGTCCAAGACGTCGTCCTCGAGGTCGTCCTAGACGTCGGTCTTGACGTCGTCTAAGAAGTCGTTCTTGGCGTCGTCTTAGAGGTCATCCTAGGCTTCGTTCTCTAGGCGTCATTTCATTCTCGACGTCCTTCTTGACGTCGCCCTAGAAGTCGTTCTAGACGTCTTCCTTGACTAACTTTCGCCTTCCTACACGTAAGCAGACTTAAGTACACGTTATCAGCCCCGTCCATCGCCGAGCGCCCTCCATAGACTGCAGCGATTGGCTATCCCAATCACTTTTCGGGAGAGCAGACGCTCCAGATTTCTTAGATGTATAGTCTAGCCCTTCAACGCCGTTCACCAACTTTGACTGCATGCACTTTAAGAAATCAGTTGACATTCCAGACTCCGGATTCAACCCGGAATCTGGAATGTCCACTTTCTCCCAAAGCACTTATGAGATCTAGTCGCTCCAATCTACGGAATGAACTCAGCGAGTGATAAAGTTTATATTATGTTTTAACCTAAAAAAAAAAAAATGGAAGCCTGCTCGCCGCTGTGGCACTGAGCGTGGTTAAACGTTGTGTTCAATGCCACAGGGTAGGCAGTCCTCGCCAGCGCGATCATCACACCTCCCCCTTCTAGCCCGCCATACTGGTGTGAGCGGCTTCAGGATTCTCGCATTCAGACAATATCACCATTAAAAGAAATTTATTTATTTTAGACTGCGGTGAAAATATAGTCAGGAAAGCAAGAACTTTCACATAAAGATTTTTTTCGAGACATCTTAGTCTTGATTAATTCTCGTGTGAATTGAGCAACGGAAACTACAGCTTGCTTTCTTTCTTGTTCTACTAAAAATCCCAGCACGACGGTGGGGCTGTGCCAGTTTAATTCTTGTTGCCACATCATGTGAGGGTCCAAAGTAATCCTATAAACAAAATAGAGCTGCAAATAAGCAAAACTGCAAATTAACAAAAAAAAAAAAGCAAAGTGCACGAAATCAAATATTTCGACCCCCCCCCCCCCCCCCCCCCCCGGCTTACGTTGGCCCTCGACCTTTCTCGAGTGGGCTATCTGGCAACAAGGCGTAAAGCTGGGCGATTTGGTTGATGGTCATATTGAATGGGTTAAAACAGCGCAAAAAAGACGAAGGACCAGTAAAAGGAAACCTCTGCGCCAAGAAAAAGTTCAGCTATAAGTCAGCGCTGTGTCTGTGTGTTTCCTTTTACTGGTCCTTCGTCTTTTTGCGCTGTTTTAACCCATTCAATATGGCTATCTGGCCCCCGCAATCAAATGAGGTTGAGAGCGCTGACTCTAGGGCGTGGCCTAGCATGTTCACACTTTTTGCGTCATGATTCGTATTTTGGCGTTCTTATCAGCTAATGGCGGAATCTAATCGTCTACGGCGTGATAATTAGATGCTCGTCACTCGAAACTTCTTGGGTTGTAGCTTACCAGTGATTCTGCAATGCTTCGCCTGCGCGAGCACTCGTTTAGCGAGAATTCTTCTAAAAACCGCGATATCGCACGCGTACCTCCCGCAGCGCCGCACGGAACGTTTGAGAATATCTCACTTTTTGCTGAATGAACGAGTTTTCATGGAGATGTGAGATGATGTAGATTCTATAAGGTCACTATAATGCTTATAAAGCAAGGCCCTCACGAACAATTAGAGAAAACGTAGGAGGTTTTCTAGCTGTCCTGCTTCCAGCACGAGATAATTGCCCTTTATTTTGCCACTGACTGTGGTTGATTCCTTGAAGCAAGTAAGCTGGCACTTAAAAATGTACGACTAAAGTACCTCCTTGGCGTTCTATAACTGTCACAACATTCCTACAGTTAATGGCAGATTTGGCCTGCGTCTCCATTGTAATTAAACGAGGTCACCCCTGCACCGCTAGTAATAAATGAAAAAACACCTCTGGATTCGTTTGGTCTGCGGTGGTGGCAACCAAGTTTACACTCTGTTTTACCGTATCAACCAGTGACGCTTCTCTTTGCAGGTGTTCTACAACAGCAGGAGCGCCCGGCACCCCCAGGCTCTGGTCTTCCAGAGGTTTCCTGTGCACCGGCCTCCCAGCAGCAGCGGTACCGCCACCTCGCAGGACATCGCCACCACCGCCGCCAGGTGCCCACTTCTGGTTCACCAGAGAAGATATTCAGCAACAAAAATGCATAGCATTTGTAGGGCCAGCTCTTAGGATTTTCGTGTCCTCACTGGGATGTAGTCTCGACAACGTCACGGCATCACGTGACGTTGTCGAGAAGTTATTCGAAAGGCGCTATAAATGCATAGTAGTATATGTCCCCTGTGACGTCACATCTTGCAGTCACGTGACACTCGACGTGACATCCTCACGTCACGTCACGTGACACTAGCGTCAGGTGAAACCATGACGTAACATCATGACGTCACAGTGTCATGTGACACCACTGCAATGGCCTCTTCACTATATTCGCAACAGGAGGGGCGCGATGAGGCCCTACAAATGCTGTGCATTTAGAGCGCCTTTGGGAAGGGCCAGAGACGACCAACTTTGTTTAGCAAAGTTCGTGTCAGCGTAGCAAAACCTAATAAATGTTGCCAATAACCACTTTTCGAATTTTCGTGCCTCTTCTGCACTCCTATACTCTGTTCACTCCAAAGTTAGACTGCGGTGGGAGCTACGCTTTCGCCAGACGAATCAACGGCCTCCCTCTCATCACCTGACCGATCTTTCCGCGCAGGGATGTGGGCGAGAGCGTGATCATGTGGCAAAAAGATCGACGTTTGAGTTTCACTGGTCCAACGCGCTCGTTACTTTTACCGCAGTCGCAGCTTAGGGGTTAATGGAGTATAGAAGAATTACTGTCCGTCCGGTGTCGCATTGAAATATCTCAAAGTATGGACGATACCATGTATTTTCCACTCTTTGTCCGTCTCCTCTTTAGTGAAACTAGCAGAAATTGCAACTATCTGTGTATTTAATTTTTGTCTCATCTTGGCCCACTAAGCGAACTTCCGTCCGTCACTGTGCTTGCTCTCCCAGTACGCACAACCTGGCTCAGCACAGTCGGCTCCAGAAGGTGATGATGAAGTCCAGCGTGGTGGTGCTCTCCGTCGCCTTCCTCATGCTGCTGGGCGTCGCCTGCGTCGTCATCGCTAACAGGAGTGAGCACGCATTAGTGTGTCTGCCCAAGGTTTAAGCACCAACCACAATGTTTCGGCAAAAGACCAGCATGCCTTTTTGCTCCTTTAGGGGCAAGGCATGCAGGCGTTCTAAATAAGATATGTTGAAGAACGCTACATTCATTGTTATTAGTTTTTTTTTTTTTTTCGTAGCTACAGATGCCGAGATTGTTGTTCGTTTCTTTCTAATGCAGCAACTGGTTTCAACATGTTCCTGCTAAACAACGCGACGATGCCCAGTAAGCATATCAATGGCGTTTTATACAGTTGCTCTCCGTTTGAGAAACGCGCAGTAAAACCGCTTCTAGACTATTCCTTTATCCGTCCCCCGTCTCACCAGGTAGCAGTCAGATGTAAAACATGCCAGTAGCGAGAAAATTTAAATAAAAGGCAAAACTTTGCCGCAGTCAACCTTCGCTGCGTGCGTGCGAGTCAAGTCACATGCGTGCGAGTCAAGTCAGAAAATCCTTCATACCTAGGACCTGACGTCACCGCACCATTGTAGTGGTCATGCTTGCTTGTTCTTGCCGAGGAGAACAAATTTGGCGGTACGATATATGTCCTGCAGGAGGTTCGCGATCAAGAGCAAGAACACCACATATAGCTGGTGTGACACCAATGCAAACCACGCATAGGTAATAGGCACAGACGAGCGGGTTAGCGACGCTAAAGAGCTTAGATTTTATAAAGAGCGTTTGCAATTTAATGGCGGACGCCTGTTGCCGTGATGTTAATGTAATAATCTAGAGGGAAAGGTACCATTCATGGAGGTAGGAATAAGAGAAGACGACATACCGGCTCAAACCAACCACACGAGAAAATCCGAAGTGAAGCCGGAAGTCGAGATCGCGGTCGGTGGAAACACACTCAAGGGTGCCCAAGTTTGTCCAATACGTATTTTTCTTTTGGTCATCATTGGGAGAGTGTCCCTCCAAACCGGAAGGCTCCCTCGGCCTCACCTCTGGTAGCGTCATGTCGCCTCCAGAAGCTTCCTACCTCCATGGTCGCACGCATTGGGGCCGCTTGGGAACGGCGGTGCACATAGACGCGGGCATCGGCGATCCCGGTCGGCGGTCCCGATAGGTCCTCATTGCTGGCGACGCCTTCATGTGCACGAAAGAACAACAGACATCACCTGTAAGGTGTCTACCTTGCTCTTTTCTAGCTTACTTTGCAGAAAACTCAGGAATCGCGGGTTGTACAGAACGAAATAAAGTTGACAAGCGCTCGAGCCACTTCAACTCGTCCAGGCAACACGAACATGCCTAGCCTTTCGTCTGCTTTCTTTCTCCGCTCTTCAGTCGCCCTTTTTCTCGTTCTTTCTCTCGGGACCGCCGATGTCAGCGTCCAGGAGAATACATTACTTTACTATAGTCCGTTGCAACTCAAGAAGGTAGGGCGAAGGTAAAGCGGGCCGGGGAGGAGGAAGCAGACGGAACGCTGGAGAAGAGAGGGGGAAACCTCGTTCTCTCTTTAGCGTTCCGTCTGCTTCCTCCTCTCCACCCCATCTTACCCTCGCCCTACCTTCTTGAGTTGCAACGGACTATAGGAGAATACATTCCACACCGCTCATCTGCATTAGACAGAACGCCTACAGCGCCGAATTCAATTTCCAGCCCTGACGGTGGGGAGGTCCGCGTCAGTCGACGCGCATGCGCATCAGGATGTTAGCGGCGGCCGCGGCGGTGTCGTCTCCAAATTTCTCCGCACCGTGCTGAATTATTTTTTTTTTTTTTTTTTGCCAAATAAGTTATTATTTTTATCACTCGCAGACATTTCACGACTGCGCGCTACGCTACGCCGGCAGTCGGTACGCCCGTGCAAGCCAGTGTCTCGAAGTGTCAAACAACGTCAAATGTGTTGCGTAATGTTTTCGTTCGATACTTCGTCGAAACACTGCACACGATGTACACCGAGTTTCAGCAAGCATTCGTTTATTTTTGGTTTCTGAATCTGGCTTTTAGAAACAAAAAAACTCCCCAATTATGTGTATTTTGCCGTTTTGCGTATGTTATTTCAGTGATACGTGCTTTACTAGTTAGTATGGTGTAGTTTTTGGATTTTATCCTATAAACGAGGAAACACTATTGTTCTTTCGTTTAATGCGCTACCGGCTGTTGGTCGGCAAAGCATTTTGTCTTTAGTATTTAGTCTTTATTTATTTGGTTCTGGAGAGCCGCGGCACCGCGGAAAGGCCCGTATCCAAGGAGGCCCACGGTGCCGCGTCTAGTGAACATGATAATGTGGTGAGTATATACATGCAAGACGACGACGACATGGGTTGTTGGTATTGGGGAGGGTGGCAGTCCGATTCGCAGAAGCCCAGATTTCGTGGAGGCGGGTTGGGCGGCTCAGCAACGAGCCATGGGGATCTGGCACGCCGTTCGATCAGTGCATGAAGGAGCACCAGGAACTTGATGGCGCTGTTGATCACGGGGGTCCACTGGGGTCCACTGTTGATCACGGGGGTCCATCAGGCTCCAAGGAGGCAGCCCAGTCAAAGTAGCAGCTGCCGCCTCCGAGGAACCTAGACCCAGGGCTCAGATTGAGGCACCGCCGTCGCCCGGTGTGCCATCCTCTCAACGTCGTCGTCGTTGTGTTCTTTATTTATACGCGTATATATGTATAAATCGAATAAGACAGATAAAACGACACACAATCGAACGGCCAGCGGCGCACCCACCGGGCACTGCCTTTGAAGGAAAAAGCCAGCCTCGATATCAAGAACCACCAACATCATCATCATCATCATTTACCACTCGATAGCCGACCCGAGACCTCCCCGACGATAGGTGGCTCTCGCCAGGGTGAAATGTCACGGCTGCGGGACGTCCAGCCATTCGACCCAGAAAACCTGTCCGTGCCGGGGCTATTGCAATATCGAGGAGTGGAATGTATTCCCCCTAGTAAAATATTTGACAAAATTAAAAAAAAAAAAAAAAACGCTTTTATTTTTTATTTATTTTTTTTATAGCGCAGCTTTTACGCGCCTGTTTCCGCGTTGAGCGGCGTCGCCGTCGCCGTCGGTTTAACCACGCGCGCTGCATTATGAGACGTCACAGTTTCCCCACTATATTTAGCGGGGGAGCTGAATTGGTGTTGAACTCATGTGACAACAGTTTTACCGCTAAATTTACCGCTTGTGGGAGTCACAGACCTACACACCAATTCAACCATTTCGTCGTTTACCCTGAGACTGGGTTTTTTTTTTTGAAGAGCAGAAGTAACAGAAAAAACAGACAAGTCTCAAACTCAGCTACAAGTTTATTTCAACAACCTTCTCTTATATAGTTCGTTCTCGTCGTCATCAACCAATCACATACGACTTGTCCTCTGCACCGTGACCTTACAGGTTCCACTCTATCACAAAAGAAGCGGACATCCCCAACGTTTCCAAGTGAAAAGGTTCTAGCAGAAGATATGTCTCACAAAGACTCCAAGCAACTCTTTTGTGTCCTCACAATAAACAGGACAACAGCCCATAACAACATCCCACTCAAAACCGGTCACCTCCAAAATTATAGAAAACAGACAATACCCTCCAATACACACCACAGACAATACACACCAAAGAAGCCTTTCAGGATGACTAAAAAAAAAAAAACACTTAAAACTGTAAAAATTGCTTGCAGCGGTTCCCTATTTGCATGGAAGGTTGACTAATGCAATTTCCCGACGATCTAATCCTAATTGTTTCTCTCACCACCGTTTTAACATCGTTGCTTTCTTTAACAACTACATCCGTTCCAGACCAACTATATAAGAGGAAGTTGTTGAAATAAACTTGTAGCTGAGTTTGAGACTGTCTGTTTTTTCTGTTACTTCTGCTCTTCAAAAAAAAAATCTGTCTCAGGGTAAACGACGAAATGGTTGACTTCCACCAGCTAGCCTGTACTTTGACTCTTTTTTCACACCAATTCAGTTTCTCCGCTAAATTTAGTGGGAAATTGAATTTGTGTTGACGTCACGTGACGTTCATTTTCTCGCTAAATCTAGCGGAGAAACTGATTTTTTCCATAGGTGATGTGGCATGAAGTCATGTGACGTCATTTCCCCCTCTAAATATAGCGGAGATTGTGGAGGTCACGTAGCGTTCATTTCCAGCCAAATTTAGCGGGGAAGCTGTGAGAGGAGAGAAGGGTATGGAGGAGGAGGGGTTAATACGGAGGAGAACGGTACGAAGGAGGAAGAGGACACGGAAGAGTAGAGGGGTGCAGAACCAGTGGGTGAGGAGAGTGATCTAGATTAGTATATATATATATATACATTTCTTTCTCATATTGTATAGCACGGTATATCGCGAAATCAAAATCCCTCAAGAGCTGCGCTCTAATTTCGCATTACACCGATTTTTAATCGTATTTCCTTTTTGTAAACGTGAAGTTTTTTGTTGTTTTTTTCTTGTTTTTTTTTGTTTTTTTTTCTTTACTGGGTTTTACAAAACAATTTTATTTATTTTATTTAGGAATACTGCAGGCCAATTGCGGCCCAAGCAGGATTGGGGGTTACAAAAGTGGAGTAAAAAAAAAACGCAACACCAGGTAATCCGTAAAATGGGAGAGGGAAACAGGGGAAAATTATGCAAAAATTGTAATAAAGCACATGTAATAGCTCACAACAAAGTTGGGAGGGGTGGCGGTAGTGGGGAACAGGAAAATAAAACACAATGCAAAGAGTTACACATCAAACAAACGCTCAATCCACTCCAAAACATTGTCAGATATAAATATGTGATGAGGTAGGTTGTTCCGTTCTGTTATGGTTCTGGGAAAAATGGAGTATTTAAATGCATTTGTTCGAGCGAATACTGGAGTTATTTTATGCGGATGGTCATGCCTTGTGTGCCTAGTCGAGGATGGGTGAAGAAAGGACGACGATTCAAGCCGGAGTTTTTTAAACCAGAGTTGATAAAGAAATTTTAGTCTAGCTAGCTTCCTTCGTGATTCAAGAGAGATGATGTTGTTACTTTGAATTAAGGCAGCAGGTGAGTCATGCGGGTGGTAGCGATTAAATATAAAACGAGCTGCTTGCTTTTGAACATCTTCCAGTATCTTGATATCTTTTTTTGTGAATGAATCCCAGACTGTACAGGCGTATTCTAACTTCGTTCTTATCAATGTGTTATAGGCTAAAAGTTTCACATGAGAAGGCACGTGCTTAAGCTTGTGCCTTATCATACCTAGTTTTCTACGGGCACAAACGTGTTCAATGTGTGAGGACCAAGATAAGTTGCTAGAAATTGTTATACCAAGATATTTAAAGCTCATCGTCCGAGAGATGTAGTTATCACCAATAAAGTATTCATACTGATGAGAGGACTTTTTGTTAGTGATGCGCATGTACAAGGACTTTTCTTGGATAAGCTTCATCTCCCAACGATCGCACCAGCTAGAAACTGCATTAAGACTTTCGTTCAGAACAACTTGGTCCCTAGTAGAGTTAATATCCTTGAACAATAGACAGTCGTCCGCAAATAAACGAATACTCACGCTTTTATCTATACAAAAAGTGAGGTCATTAATAAAAATTGAAAAAAGAAGAGGGCCAAGGACACTCCCTTGCGGAACACCCGAAATTACAGGAAGAGGATCAGAATGGTGACCGACTACATCGACGAATTGTTTTCGCATTTAAAGATAAGATGAAATCCATTGAACAACTGTGCTGGGAAGGCCAATCTCATTTAGTTTGTATATAAGACCGGAATGAGGAACTCTGTCGAAGGCTTTGCTAAAATCAAGGAAGATGACGTCGACTTGACCAGGCCTATCTACTATAGAAGCAAAAGAATGAATAGTTGAAATGAGCTGAGTAGTAGTAGAAAGTCCCTTTCGGAACCCATGCTGAAAAGGCGAGATTATTTCATGTTTATCGAGGAAATCATTGATGTAATTAGAAATTATATGTTCCAGTAGTTTACACGAAGAGCTGGTGAGTGAAATTGGGCGATAATTTGTTAACATTGTACGGTCTCCTTTTTTAAAAACGGGTACAACCCGAGCAATTCGCCAATCTGAGGGAACAACGCCACATGAAAATGACATCTGGAAGATAACAACAAGGAATCTACAAATCCACTCAGCGTAACGACGAAGAAATGCATTTGGTATATCATCAGGACCATTTGACGATTTAGGTTTGAGGTTAAGTAGCATAGAAAAGATACCTTCAGACGTGATGAACTCTGAGCTTATTTCAGTTTCTTCGTTAAAGGAGGAATGTCTAGTGTAAGACTTCGAGAACACTGACTGAAAGAAAAGATTAAACTCCGTAGCTATTTGTTGTTTGTCGTGAACCAACATTTCCCGAATTTTGACATAATCGACAGTTTTTTGTTGATTTGAGCTGAGGTGTCGCCAGAACTTCGCTGGATCTGTCTTAAGGAATCGTGTGAGTGTATTGGAATGATAGAACTGTTTACTTGTGCGAATTTTAGCTGCTAGTGCTCGCTTTAGGCAGGGGAGGGAGGAACTGTGAACTCGACTTCTACGGTTTCTTTTTACTTTCCGTACTAGATGAATTATTTCGCGTGTCATCCAGGGGTTTTTGCGGCGCACATATTTACTTTTATTAGGAATAAAGTTTCGAAGACAAAAATGACAGATTGATTTAAATTTATTCCATAAATAATTAACGTCGTTCCCAGAAAATGTATCTAAGGATAACTCAAGGTAATCTACAGATTCGTCATTCGCCCTAGAAAAGTCTTTAATAATTTTGCGCTTCTGGGCCACAAAATCATCCGAGCTGCCCATGAGGCAGGAGAAAGAAACAAGCTTATGGTCGGACAAACCATCCTCCACTGATACCTGTACCTCAGACAGAGACCTACTATAAAGGACAAGATCTAAAATGGACGATGAATCACCCTGCACTCGTGTGGGTACATTAACTGCTTGAGAAAGGTCACAGGCAAACGCAATGTCGAAAATGGTTTGGTCAGAGGGTGAGGAGGATGATAAATTATGCCAATCAACGTTAGGTAAATTAAAATCACCAACCAATAGCATGCAGCTCTTGGAATACTTGAGTATATAATCATAAAGCCTAGCCAGGTATTCATTGCTTGATGAGGGTGAGCGATATACAGCGATCAAGATGAATGACTCCTTCCCGTAAGTAACACGAAGCCACAGGCTTTCATGATCAGTCATTTGATCTAGCACTACAGCAGATAGGCTGCTTTTTAAAATGACGGCTACACCGCCACCACGGGAGGGTCTATCTCTTCGGTATATATTGTATGAGCCAGCAACTATATCACGGTCATCGATTTCATCGCTTAGCCACGTCTCAGTTAATACTAATACACGCTAAAATGGCTCGCAAAAGTCAATATCTTGGCGGATCTTGTAGCAACATTTCTCGAAAATGTCTTCAACTGATCACATTGTTGTGATAAAATTTCAAGTCGGAACTCCGAGCACAAAGAAAATAAGAAAATAATAACTGATTTTTTCAACGTCGGAGCGGCAGCTGTCGGGGAGACACCGAACGACGGCCATGCTTCTTTGCCTTATCCAGAGATGGCGCTACGGATTCACTGGACGCTGACTGAACGAAAAAGCGCACTTTTTCGTTCAGTCAGCGTCCAGTGAATCAAAAAAACGAAACAGAGCCTACCAAGCTGTGCCTGTTCTAAGCAAAAAGCAACATTCGATATTGTGCTCACATACCGGCACTGCCATATCATACTGACATACCGGTACTGGCATATCGGCAGCCCTGTTCCAACATGAGCAATTTTCTAAGAAAGATAAAATCTACTGCAGCCCGCTAAAAATATAATATAGTGTGTCAGCCGATCTATGCTTTGACTAATGAATTAGAAATTATTGTTACTATTATAGATTATTCTAAAAATCATATATTGCAGTGTGCCACAAGGCACATTCGTATAGGTAATTCATTAATTCAATTATTCATTCACTCATTCATTCTTTCATTCACAGTCAGTTTCAGTTTCAAAATAGCAGAAAAAGCTCACTCCTTTCCACTCGCCTCTTCGCCAGTGTTCGCCTTCTCCTAACGCAGAAAGAGGGGAGGGCATTGTGAAAGAAGCTAGTACCGCTATTATTATACAAAAACGAACTTCAGTTTGTTTCGGGACGTTCTATTTCAAATTTCCCGCGCAAGAAATCTTCCTGCCGCCGTCCCTCTACAATGCGGAGACGTGCCGCCATCTGCCGATGCCCGCCTCAACTGAACAGCTATGTTTCGTTTTCGATCGCTTTCATTTGTTTTGGGCCGAAATGTACTGCAGTCTACGCTAAATTTGCGTGAAGTACTGACGTACGCTTACTCTCATCCCTTGTCCCCAGATTATTTTATTCTTCCTGTGTCAATGCAGTTCATTATGTTAACCTTCCTGTGTAGAACCCCTTGTCGAACTTCGTATCATAGAACAGTGTAAAACTCCTCGCCACCTCGCTACCGCTCTTAAACTTCGGCCTCTTTGTGCCCTGGTTATGCTTCGAAGACTACGTTAATTACGTTAAAGCACGCTTAAGAGACGAAATTCGAGCCTAAGAGCTGAAAGACTCGCGCTGCCGCTGGCGAATATATGAAAAATCAATTGCAGCCGAGCCTGCCTCCGATGACAAGCCGGCGCCAGGTGCCTTCCTGAATAATGTACCGAGGATGGTGACCGGCGGTTCAACAAATGTAGGCCTGGCAACTGGACTAATCGGTAAATCCAGAAACTAAACTCAGTTAACCAACTGAAAATCACATACTACTGTTGTGCCTATTTGTACGCCTCTTATGTCCCGGTTATTCGTACCGTCCGCGTGGCCTAATGGATAAGGCGTCTGACTTCGGATCAGAAGATTGCAGGTTCGAGTCCTGTCGCGGACGAACCACGTTTTTTGTTTACTTTTTTTTTTCTTTTTTCCTTTTTAAATTTTTTTCAATTTTTTTTTTTTACAGACATTGACTTTTTTTTTTTTTAGCGTTTCGTTTTATGCAGATTTGCATATCCCCTTGTGGCCATGTAACATTATTTGGCAGAAATGGCTGGCTGCCGGTTTGCCCTTCTTGGGGCCCAATGCTACACGGCGAGACCAAGCGGGACCGGAACAACGCCGTCTGCTGCGAGTGGTCAGCACCGCGCCGCTGACCAATCATAGCAGACTGCGTTGTCCCGGTCCCTCGCTCCCGCTGTGTCGCATTGGGCCCCTAATGTAAATGCAGAAATCCGAAAAAAAATCTATATCCTGCGCATTTAAAAAAAAGGAAAATCATACGGAATAAAAATGTAAGTTCATATTGGGCACCTTGTTCATCGTGCTCCAGGGGCCCCTTTCCCACGCTTGGTCTAATTATTAGTATTTCATCTCTCGTCGAAAAATATTCCTGCACACAACTACGTGGACGATGCATGTACTACATGTTCAGATTGGTTCGGATAATCGACTGCTACGCCTTTTATTTTCAGCGCCCAATAATAAAGCACCGGGCGAGCACCAAGGCGTCCTTGGTGCTCTTTTCCGAAATACGAAAGCACCCCGAGGTGAGAAATACGTCCTGATCTAGAGGCTAGAGCATACATATAGTGGTGGCATACCTGATGGGTTGCATCTCTGATAAGCCGTCAGACCTAATAAAAGGAAAAATTTAACCTTATTTCTTGAGTTCAGAATTTGTCTTTAATTGCAAGAAAAAGAAAAAAAAAAGAATGTATATAGCTTTTGATATATTTTTTTCTCAGGGATAAAACGCATTTTAGGGTTTAAACACAATGTACTGAACACTGATCTCTCCTAGCCAGCTCACCCGCACACACTTGAGTTTCCCAGCTTTTAGAGTCTTCTGGCTGTTGTATCTTGCTGTATAGAAGCGAGACACTGCAATTTACCGCGGATGTATGGCTAGGGGGTGCGTTCACTTGAAAAAGATATCGACGTAAGAACCAGTTTCATCACAAAAAAAAAGGGGGGGGGGGGGGGGGGGGAGGCGCGGGGGGGGGGGGGGGTGTTGGCCGCCTCGGATGCAGCGCTCATTCGGGGTGTCACGCGGGCCACGAAAAGGGGGGGGGGGGGGGGGGGGGGGGGGGGATGGATCGCCGCGGGCCAATGCCCGCGGGGATCCATCCTTCCCAAGAGAGCTTGTGCCGCTGACCCTAGTGGCGGAAGGCGGATGATAAGATTATCGTCGCGTTCCGCCGCTGCTAGCTTTGCGCCTGCTTCAGGAGTGATAACTTTGGCGCGCTTTCGAGTTTCCCGCGAGCTTCAAGTCGTTCTAAAAAGAGTTGATTCAGTGCTTTTCGATGACGCTCAGTAAGTTCTAATTGGAACCATATGACTATTTTCACTGATTAAAATATAATTAGTAAATTTAATTAACTAGAAAACTAATTAGTCAGTATCACGCATTTTCTGACGTCCGCCACCACGACTTGTGCGGTCCCGAGAAAATTATCCTTTTGCCTCTAATGCACTAATTTTAGTGTATTAGGTTTTCGTCCGCACTTTATTTTCATGTTGTGCGTCCGCATCTTTGTTTCTTTTTTTTTTTTTCTTTTGAAAGTAGGGTGTGAAAGAGCGAGCGAATACAACGAGTTGCAGGCGGCACCGCCTGCAACTCGTTTTTTTTTTTTTTTTTTTTTTTTTTTTTTTTTTCCATTGTGTCTTAAATGTCTTAAACAAGACGTTTTTGAGTTCCTGTTATTGCGAATTGTTGAATATATGTGACTACTTCAAACAGTTTATTATAAAACGTCCATCTAGCATTTTAATAAAACAAAAGATTGGAGAAACCGAAAAAGAACGGTCTATAAGAATGTGTAACCGGTAACCGAAACCGTAAAAAATTAAAAAACGTGAAAAAAAAAAGAAACCGATATCAGCAAGAAACTGTAACCGTAATACTAACCGAAACGTTATATTTTTCGGTGAGTCCCTGCTAAAAAGGTTTAACTCCGCTTTGATCCGTACAAACATTATGGTTTTTAGTTCCTACCTTTCTAATTGAAGCAAGTCTTGGCTTGGCGTCGTAGGGTCCCTAATCTTATTATTTGTTCTCTCATTGCAAACAATGTGTGTTATGCATCCTTCGTTTTGCCAGACGTGAGGGTTGATTTTTATCGGGACTTTGTGGGCATCTTGCCTTCCCGCTGATTACCTTTGAGTCTACCCGCTGTGAAGATGCTTGATACTGCAACAAAGGAGCGAGCAAAAGTTCCCAAATATTATTACTTAATCACAGCTTTTAATTTGCACCCATTCCTGCCTCATTTGCCAGAGAACTGCGGAAAAGTTTACTTATAATTCCGAAACATGTTCTTTTTTTTCTTCTTTTTTTTCAGGTTTTAGCAAAGATTATGTGTGCACAACAGACAGCTGTACGAAAGAAGGTGCGTAAAGACATGAAGGGGTCCATATCCTATCAACGCCATCTCCAAATGGCAAATTAATTATTATGGCAAAGCCTATTCACTTCGTTATCATATAATGATCCGGGATACTCGACGTGAAGAAGATTGTGCCTGTTGGTTTAGACTAGTAGTTTTTTTTTTGCGGTCAGCCTAACCACCACCTTCAATTGATTTACTAAAAGCCCTTCTATGGCTTGGACGTACGCGTACTGTCAGGCATTTAGTAAATACACTTCACCAGATTGTATAATTCAACGATAGATAAACTAAACTGTCATAACTCTTTATTACAGTGGTTCTCAAATGGGGGTCCGCGGACCCTTTGGGTTCCGCGAAGACATTCTAGGGGTCCGCGAAGCCCTGCCTCACCAGTAAAGCACGGCGATAAAATTTGTATTTTCTCAGATTGAGAGGAAACGTTCCAATTTTCGGGTGAGCTTTCTCGTGTATATGTCAATAAAACAAGTTTACTTTACAGTATATCCCTTAGTTATATCTATTTATTAAATCACTATCATAATTAAGCTATACCTTTCCCTTCCCCTCACCAAGGACGGGGTCCTCTATCATCTCCGCCGATCCACAAAAGGTCCGCGAAACATCAATGGTTGAGAACCACTGCTTTATTACATTAAACGCTGTATTGGCCGTGTAGTGGTTAACATGCAGCCACCGTTCGTCAATTATGATGCTATAGTGCGCAAAAATATGCACATGGCAGTGGAATAGCGAAGGCTCGGTTGCGTGTTATATAAGTCCCATAGTGGTCGTTGACTAAAGGCGTGACAATGTATGAACCGGGAAATATGCGATAGATGCTAAAAATTTTCTTCTTCACATGCATGTGCGCGTAGACAATATGAGCACCTTTTTGCAGCACTAAGTTATCACTCCTCTGTTTTAAAGTTTTCGGAACATCATTTGGATAAATGTTAACCATTTATAGCCATACTGCTACCGGTCAATACTGAGCAGCAGAAGAATGCTAATAGGGGGTATTCCCTGTACGCCATATTTGAGTGCGCTACTTAGAGCGCATGCTCAGAATGAGCTCATATTAACCGGCTGCTACGACCCGTGATCTTGATGGTGTGGAATACACGTTGCAAAACAGCTGTGGAAGGTCACCATCAGCACGCGCTCTGCAGTCGAGCACACAGCTATGGCCGCCAGTGAATTGTCCCTATTGAGGAAGGTTGTTCGCGTGCTTTTAGGGTAATGCAAACAATTTATCGACGAATGGAGGCAGCAGACAACCACAAGCGTTTGTGTTTCCTTCCTTTTTCTAAAAGAATGGTGTGTGCGTGTTTATACAGCCTGATCTTAGTTTGCCTCAATGAGCGACTTGTCTCTCAGTTGTAGATGAGCAATTTAGCCCGTGCGGTACAACCACTAAGCTGGGGTCTTTACTGTGTGTGGCACACAGTAAAGCACTAGTAAATCAAAACCGTGCAGCGCAGATTTTTTTTTTTATGGTTTGACAAATTTAATATAGGTGCGCCCTCCAACTGCATAGCCAACGAAACTCAATGAAATTATATGTGATGTCATTATTTTCTATTTTGACGTAGTGATCATAAATGTCAACTTTACTCTCTGCTGCAGAAATGTTCCTTATAGGCTTGTTAATAATTGAATCAGTTAGGTATTAGCTTTGTTTTTATTTTTACGTTCTAAAAAAACGTTTTTTTTATATAAAATGTTTTGTTTTGTCACGAGCCCCTCATAGCTACTGAACACACTGGCCTTCTCTTCTCTCAGAATTAAAATAACAATACAAAACAAAAACACACACTTCAGTCATGCCCTTCCTCATTTGTAGGACTCGCGCCACTACTTTGACGAAGTTGAGTCAGCATCTTGAGTCAGTATCTTCAAAAATGAGCCAGCATCTTCAAAAATGAGTCAGTATCTTCAAAAATGAAACTAAAACAACCCTCCTTGACCACTACAAAACACATTTATCGCTAGAAGAGTATTAAGGTGATAGAAAATCCCGAAGGCAAACGAGTGATCAATTTCAGAGGTCCTATACTTATCCAACGCAGGTTAGCATTCATATAATGCACTAACACCACAAAGTCATATCTCTGTTCGGGTCAATTAATGCTCTAAAAAACAACCCGTTTCCTCTTTTCTTTTTTTCTTTTTTTTTTCTTCTTTTTTTTACTTTTAATCTGCGTTTTTCAAGATGCAGTTATTTTTGTGAGAACATTTGGTAGATACGGCCCCGAGTCGACTTGCAACTTGGTTTGTATACTGTGAGCCGTCTCTAAGTTGGCTCGGGCTTCGCGGATCTCCCGGCAAGGGCACTGACGTGACGTGTTAGAGGCCTTCGCGAAGGCGCTGTCGCGCACCCAGCGGTTTCGTGAACCTGTGCGCGAGTAAGGACTATCCCTAAAAGGACTCTCAACGACCCCCTGATGCCCGTTAATATGCGCCCAGGCATGTTACTCCATCTCACAGCATTTGAAAGAAATGTGAGCGAACCTTCGACACACCTTTTCAATGGCGAGGCCGGCGCCGTTCAGACATTTCCTCTTGTTCCAGCGTGGTTATATGTCTTTCTTTCTTCCCCTTCCCCTCTGGCTTTGGTGCTGCTCCAGGGGAGCGCCTGGCGAGCTTGGTGGACCCCGCGCTGAGCCCCTGCGACAACTTCTACGACTACACGTGCGCCACCTGGGCCGAGGAACATCCAGTACCCAGGGGTGCCGACCGAGTCTCTTACCGCTCCAGCCTGGTCGACTATGTCGAGAAGAGGCTCGACGAGATCGTACGAGGTGGGTCGCAGAACGCTGCTTTTTCACACACGGCTACACTTTCGAAATTAAAGGGGGTGCCATACAGTTTATGGGATAGCCAGATATCTCCAGAGAATGAGAAAGGAAAAATATATACACCAACCAATCTCTAATTGTTAAGGGACTCTACATTTCGAAACCAACTTGGTTCACTCATCAGGGGCGACTGTGTCCATTGAGGAGTATATAGCTTCTAAAAGCCGGTGTGAACGTTAACTCGTAGCAATTTTCACCTCTTTAAGAGGTCATCTTTCCTTTTTGTTTTCCTTCGTCACGTGGCGCAATTCATTGGAGCATACTGTAGGTAAATTGCCAAGGCCCCTGGTAATATTTCCTGGTGTGGTCTCCAGAGATGGGATCGAGCGAGGGAGAGAGAGAGAGAGGGAGAGAGAGAAGGAGAGAGAGAGAGAGGTAGTCGGAAGAGAGGTTCGGATCAAGAAACATTGTGTGAGAGTTCGAGGAGTTGAATAGTTTGAGTAGAAAATCTGGTGTATATTCAGGGACCTGAATATACGCCAGACAGCAGAGTCCTTTTAGTTAAACATAATGAGGAGTACTTTTATATATGTTTTAAACATGGCGTAAATATACACGCCTATTAATCCAAGTTATTATATGTCTGGTACATCACTGTCCTCATCATCACAAGAAAACAACACCGGCGTTGTGTCAACAACAAAGCAAGCCCATGCAGTTTCATTCACGCCACCGAAATTCCAGATGATGACGAAACCGTGTTCGTCAAATGGCCCCATAATGCACATAAAAGACAATTCACAAAATGGGCAGCGCCCTCCACCGGCGCCGAAATGTGTTCTGGGAATTGGCTACAACGGAGGCGTGACGATTGAACACACGTGCGCGTCTTCTAGGTGTTTATTATTTATGACTCGTAAACAAAAACTGAAACTTATTCCAAACCTTTTCCAATTAAAAGAGTTCAATCCTGAACGAAAACTAATTCAAGAGAATTCTTTCACGGTCCCTTTAGCGACCGGGTCTTGCTCAAACTCTCGGGTGGCACTAATCTCGGCCCCCTTGTCCCAACAGCCGAACTGCGGAAGGTGCTGTCGATGCCCCTGGCTTTCAACTTCTTGTCGAGCCACGTCAAGGCCATCCTCATGAGGAACGCCTGCATGGAAGTCGGTAAGCAAAACGTAACCTCCCTGCCCTCCACCTAGTGGCACGTCTCGGTGAAATATTCCTGAGTGTGTGCAATTTCGCTGGTGTAAGAAAAATAAGGCATGTGAAACCCTTTGAGAAACCAAATCTCAGGTCAACAATATTTTGTACGGCGTGGTTCAGGTATTTTACCTGCTTAGTGCTTTATTCACACAGTAGTCAATTATAATGTAAGGACGCGCTAGGGAGATGTTCCAGTTGTCTCGCCTCCAGCACGAGTTTCCTCTTTGATAAGGCTTCGGAGTTTCGTGAAATTCGAGAGTGCACGCACCTCAACCAAAGCACGGCGGAAGGTAACAAGCACGTGAGGGTCCCGTTTTCATTATGTCAAAGACTATACAATTTTTCCAGGTCTAGAATTGTGCTTCGAGTACTCGCCAACTATACTGAGATGCGATATTAGATCTATTATTTCCAAAGAAACGACTCACTGAAGTGAACGAGATCAACGGAAGGTACTAGATGAACGCACCTTCACGACAGAATGGCTTTCTCGCTTTTAATACAAACCCAAAAACCTATTTTCTTTTTTTGTGGGGGGAAGGGAGGGGAGGAGGGGGGAGTAAAGGGAAAAAGCTGGAGCGCAACTAACTTCGAAAGAGAAACATTCTTCGCACCGTGGCCGAAACCACTATATTATCTTTTCTTGTATGAGATTATAGAGAGTTTGATTAAAGAGTCGAAGTCCAGCTTGCATTAAAATGAAAGTGCGCGCGTGGCTGGCATGGCGTGCAGAACGGCTCAACGACCGCGGCTTGAGCCCTCTTCGGGAAGTGCTTCAGACGCTGCACCTCCCCGAGTGGCCCACGGTCAAGATCGAGTTCGACGGCTCGCAGATTGAGGACGTGGCCGGGGCCTTGGGCTCGCGCCTGGGGCTCTTCCCCCTGGCGTCCGTCGACGTGGTCAGGGACCCCGAGAGACCCGACAAATTCCTGATTGCGGTGAGACCGCGCAGCCCCCGCTTTGAACGGTGCACTGTCCACAGCGGAATCTTCTAATAATAGAAGATTCCGCTGTGTGTGCGTGGGGGGGGATTACTCGATTCGTTTTTAATTTAGAGTTCATATTCTACATTACAATGAACCACAGGGGACGCTACGAGCCATCGGAGCGTATTCGATATCATCTGGATGTCACGCGACCTAAGTTAAAACCGCAGGACAAGCTCTTTCCTCAAAGCCCTCTACTCTTTTCACTTTGACAGACGGAATGCTGGAGAGGAGGCAAGGAGGAACTCGCCTCCCCTCCATCGTTTACTCTGTTTAAGTTAAAAAAGGGGACTGCTTTGTGAGATGAGGGACAAGCGGGACAGAGGAAAGTTGAGACTCCTTCCCGCGTAACTCGGCCTAAAGTCTTATCCCTGCCTCCCAGGGGGTCCACTGTTGGGGTACAGCGCCGATAAGGTTTGGCTAGAGAAAAATTGTTGACTCCTTCGCAAGGAGGAAAAAGCCAAAAATAATGCTTTTTAGGCGTTTTTTTTTTTTTTCCGATTTTGTGTAGGCTACCCCGCAATATCCCACACTGCCCGGTGATAGTTACAAAAATGCAAAGGAGAAGGAAACTGACTTAGTAGTGCGGGAAGAGGAATCCTATGTATTCAGTTTTCAGGCTACCGCCCGTTATAAAAGGTACAGCCGTTAACGTCTCTGATCTTTACCATAGGGTAGAGTTCCTGTATAGCTACCTACGGTAGCAGAGTTGCGCATTCAGCCTCGGCGCGTGGCCGTAGCGCCGGCTTTCCCGCACGAGCTGGATGCTTTGCTCCTCACGTGACTAAATTTGGCGAATAGCGGCGCCGCGCGCGCCGCCGCGCATGGAAAACAGGAGAGGAGGAAAAGGAGGCGGAAAGCGTGGAAACATACGCCGGGCAAGAGAAACGTCGGCGGAGAGACCGTAAAGGTGGCTTTCTTGCACGCTACGCGATGCTTTGCTCCTCACGTGATGGATCTCGGCGAATAGCGGCGGGGCGGCGCGGGGAAAACAAATGCGCAACTCTGGCTCGATCTCTACCATAGGGGGTTGGATGGCGCTATAGCTGCTCTCCGAGCCTGGCGCAAGTGCAGCCACCGGAAGTTTGATGCTTGTCCCGGAAGTCGGGACATTTCATCCAGTCGATATTTTGGTCCATGCTTTTTTGTGTCTTTGGTTGGGTTTTAATACTCCCGTTCTGGATTAAATCCCGAGAATAAGGCATTTGGACGTGGGACATACGCACACTTGATAAACTAGAATCTCAAAATTTTCACATCGAATGGCTTCCCAGGAGACTTGTCTGGTCCGCATGCACTGTTACTCCACAACAAACAGGCTCTCTTGGGATGACAAAAAAAAATAAAAAAATACAGCGCCCTGAACGTTGTTCGAACCAGCATTCGGAAGAGTTAAAAACCTGTCAAGCGTTCACTTCCGGGACAAGCCTCTTACTTCTGGTGACTTCAAATATGTCTGCTCAATGCGCCATCCAGCCCCGTATACAGTAGATATGAGTGGTTAACGCCCATTCATTCTCCGGGAGGAGCAATTGTCTTGCACCATACAACTGACCAAAGTCACGCGATCCAGTCAAGCCAGATTCGCAGTGCTGAGTCGGCTGGGATGGCTCGTGAAAACTTACTTGTTCTTTTGTGGAAGAAATCGCGCACTAATATGGGTGTTCCGTGTGGCGAGTATTCCGGCGTGACAAAAATTCCTTGTACAAGATGCCCTGTGACAAGTTGGCCTACCGTAGGGGTTCACCTATGACCAGTGTCCCTGTAGCAACAAGGGTTGTGACTGCTTCTTCTAGCACCATATATACAGTCTCTTGACTGTTGGGCTTGCAGCTGGACGACCCTTCACGGGAAGTGTTCCGGAGGGGCGCCTTCCTGAGGAATGAGCGAGAGGCGCTCGAATATGAATCCCTGGTGCGGAAGGCCTTCGACAAACTGGGCAACCCGGCTCTGTCAGACCTCCTCGGATCCGCGGTCCTGGGACTCGAGGACGAAATCTCGCAGGTCGTACACCCTATACCCCTTCCTATACACCAACTCAGCTCTCTGAAGTCACGCCATTCCGGAGGCGTAGCTGTCGGCATTACGCATGCGCAGACGCAACTCACGCGGATCTGGGTTCTACGCACGCGCACTGCCCACACCTGGTGTGGACAGACAAGAGATTTTTTGTACACAGATCGTTGGTGTATGCTCCTGGGACGCTCCTCGAACGACGATGTTTGCAAATACTTTTCAAGGGTGAATGCTACTCATCTGTGGAAGACGAAACTATCAGAGGGACGCCACGACGACAGATAGCGCTAGCTTGCGGGTATGAAGCCCCCTCCATTTGGGTTGCTAGATGGTTTCAATCGAGAGGCAATGACACAATACATTTTCTTTCAATAAACGTATTTACAACTAAACTACCCTCTTTTTGTGTGGAGTGCTCGTGATTGCCAAAGGTTTGTCGTATTTGACGTGCCAAGTTAGCCAGGATAAAAGAATAAAAATAAAAGTAAAAAGGTCAATGCTTAATACATTTCCGTAACACAAACGCTTTAAAGGGATGTGGGACCGAAATTCGGAGCTAAGAGAACTAGGCTGGAGCGATAGGAGGGGCGGGGCGCTGCGAAGGCCCCAAACATCACGCGTACAGAAATATATTCAACGGATGGCCGTAGTTTTGAAGAAGTGCTCGATTGAACAAGGCTGACGAGGCCGTCGAGACAACTCACCGTCGCGATTCTCATTCCCTTTCCTCCTCACTTCGTGCCCTCGAACAGGTGAACAGAAGCGAAGAAGAGAGAAGCGATGCCGCTTCCCCTCATTTTTAACAGTTTCAGGAGAATCGCGAAGTCATATTCCTCGCTGGATCGGGCCCTTCTTTTCCGAAAATACGACCATCCGTTTGAGATCGATGTATGAGTGATGTTTTGGAGTTTGCAGGCGTTCCTTTCAACGCTTGTGCGGTCGTTTTTTGTGAAATAAACATTTCGGTTCATTATCCCTTTAAAGATTTCGGTTCATCGCCGCTTCCCTACCGCCCACTCTCGGCGTGACGTCCTGAGCAATATCCTGTCCACTTGAAAGCGTTCATTATTCGTGCAGAGTGAGCAGCATTTACCTCTGGTAAAGTGTTTGATCAAATATCGACGCTCACATTCGTTTAAGCTTAATATTTCTGGGGAATGCCCCACACGGTCCATTTCAAGACCTAGCTGCATGAAACCCCACTATTCAAGTAGGTTCTTCTCCAGTCGAAACGCCATGCCTGGTTCAGTCTTTTGCGCAATGCGTAATATCATCACCAGATAAGCAACCGAAGTTTATTACGCAGACATGGGCGTACCAAGCCGGGTGGGGGGGGGAGAGGCATGTGTTTTGCCCCCCCTCTAACAGCCGCCACTGTGCAGGGCAAACACTGGCCGGCGGCGCCCCAGAGATACCAAAGGAACTCCCCCCCCCCCCCCCCCCCTCCACACACACACACACACACACACTCAAAAACCAGTTGGTACGCCACTGGTCACAGTCGCAGAACAACGTCATTAGAAGCTTCGTATCAGTTGCGGAGCTCATGGTTCTGCGGCCGGGCCAAAAAATGTCTCGGTCGAACCCTACAGTCCGCGCTAGCGCTTCGAGTTTCCGGCTCAGCATTAACAGCGACGCTGGCTCCACCCGGCTCCGTCAGCTCCGCGTCGAAACCTTTGCGTCTTACTGTTCCGTACTAAGGTACTGACAGCGTCATGTAGGGGCGGCCGTGGCGGCTTGCGCGCGATATTCCGCATATTCATCTTCGCATCGGCTTGTGAACTATGATAAAGTAAAATATTCTTCTTCAATTTGAAAAACACGAGAGAAACACGTAGAGACGAAGACAGACAGTACAGCTCTTTCAACTAGCAACCTGCATTTCATGATGCCACCATCAATGCGTCAGCCCTTCCCTTTCCTGATCTCCAATTCGCTCTAAAAAAAGAAGAAACCCATCGGAAAACTGAGAAACCCGGGAGGAAGAAAAAAAAAAAGAATTCGTTAAGGAAGAAGAGAAAAAAGACTAAAGGAACTGTTATTCTTGAAGTTGGATAGATTTTTGGTTATGCCGGCGTGTTTTGTACCCGGGTGTACAAACGGTTTTAAGAGCAACAAACAAATAAAAAAGGGCACTTTAAACTATTGATATACGACAAAAAAAAAAAAAAGCTTCGGACTGCGCTACATCGCGCACAGACAAGCCCCCCTCGGCAAGTTACCATGAATGTGATCTCCACTTTACAAGCGGAAATGTTCTGACAGTTTATAAACACGAAATAGGCAGTGACATCGAGGAGTTACCGCGAGAAAGATGGGAGCTCGTCCCATAAGTGATGCGGAAATTCCAAAACTACGGCTCTTCCTGTCTGCTACCCACGCGCGGGTAAAAGTCGCACGCAACTGCTACAGTCCTTGAACATGCATCAGGATGAAATGAGGAGCTGACAAAACCAGAGGCGCCCGTGGTACTCTCAGTGCCCTATCAGTCACTCGTGGCGCTCGTGGCGCCTAATGGCCTGGTGCCAGAAAATGTTTGGCTGGGGCGCAAAGAACCGACGAGATAGGAAGCTCCGCAACCAATAAGCGAAGTGCTTCCAGTGACGTTGGTCACAGGCAGCTTAAGAAACGCAGGGCGTAGCTTCACTCCTCTTGCTTCGTGACTGGCTCTTTGGCGTTCTTATAGGGAAATGCCGTCATCTCACTGGCCACGGTGCGATAACGATAACACCCTGTATTTCTGTCAGTGACTCTAGCAGCTCATCACTTTGTTTGATTTGTGTGCGCTTGATTTTAAATTTATGAGATGTCAGCATAGAACAATTAAGTGTGAGCGAACATGTCCCCGACCGGCATAATGAAAGCAGATTCAAATTGCAGGCGTTAGGACCTACGATGCAACCCGAAGACAGGGTCAATCTTTTTGGGAAAATGTCTGTTGCGGACCTGCCAACGTGTAGCAAGGTTTGAATTTCTAGTTCTTGTAGCCTCTACAATGTTAATGATTGCCGAATATGCCGTAGCACATCGACACACGCAGATTTCATATCTCACACGCAAATGGTTCTCGGGCGCAGTTCCGCTGGCTCAAATTTCTGAACCGAACGATGGAGAAGGTGAGGCCCGTGCACCGGGACAACAATGTCCTGGTACGGAACCTGCCTTACCTGAAGAAGCTCGTCGAGATCTTGGAAGGTCGCCAAAGGTCAGCATTCAACATCCGCCCTCTTCGATTTGGCTGGCAACTTTCTCTTGTTTTCAACCAATGTCAAGCTCACATTTAGTCAGTGTCATGTAATGGCCTCCGAAAGTTCAGGCGCACAATACAGTAACCGTCGATGGGCGTGGTAATCTCTTCCAAATTATCACAAGAGAGAAAAAATGCTATGCTTTCCTCGTTTACAGACTTTAGATGGACACTCGGCCATAGGCCAGAACAAAGGCAAATCGACAATTCCACGATGTTGGTTGTGAGTGGCTAAGGAACCAATGGAAAGATTTGATTTATAAAACATAGTGTAAAGCGAAAAAAAAGGACACAAGGAAGAAGACACAAACAGATGCCTGTGTGTGTGTTCTTTGTATTCGTTGTTTTTTTGCACCTTAGACCATGCCCTGATAACGCTCACCAACTACTCCAACTACAAGTTCTTCGAAAGCCTTGATTTGTTTAACAACAATAAGATCTCCTTAGATAAATGACTAATCACATGACCGTCTACGACTCGGACGTCGTTTGGCATCAGCGTTTAATGAGTTTAACCGCGCCGAACGAAGCGGAATGGACCAGTGGAGCGCGTAGCCTCGCGCATTCACAGTTCCTCTTGCGATGCTTATGGTAACTGAATTATGGAGTCATCGGTAAAGTAACTGTATACATGCTCCTCAAGCGGATGTTAGTTACTTTAGCGAGGCTACGCGTTGCACTGGATAATTTCGGTCGTCGAACACAGCATTTAGCCTTGCAGAAGGTGGTTACGTGTCCAACGAAGATTAAAAATAGAAGGAAGGAAGAAATTAGAATGGGTGAATGTAGAAGGAAGATGGTGTGTCCGCTCTCTGCAGGCGTACCATCATCAACTACCTGGGCCTGAAGGCGTTGCTGGTGTTCTCTCCTCTGCTGCCTACCAACACCGAGGGCGCCATCGCCGGCCTGTACGGCAGGCTGCTCACGGGCAGGGCGCCGCAGCAGCTGCCTCGCTGGAGGTTGTGCCTCAGGGCAGCAGAGGACGCCATGCCCTTCGCCTTCCTCAGCATGTACCACAACGTCTTCGTCAAGGAGCACAACGTCCTGCAGGTACGCCTCTCTGTCTGATTGTGTTATAAGTGGCAATTGTTTGCCAAAGGATAGTCTATAATGGCAAAGTTGCAATACAATGACTCTTATTTCTCATCAGTTTGTCTTGCCAAATTATACGTTTTGTACATGGTAGCGTAATTAGAAGGAGGTAGAGTATATAAACAATAAAGTTAATCCTATAAAGCAAAAACAAAGCTGCTTTGATGCATTGTTGGCAACATATTTTGAGTTGAGGTGACTACAAAAATTATTAAAAAAATTAAGTTGCCCCTGTCTGCTCCCGCAATAGCACTGTAGACTTAAAGCCACTTTAAATTAAATAAATAAGGTAAATGAGCCGACTAAAAAATAGTACTTGTTTAATGTTATCTAGTTAGACATGGCTTACTTTCTGGGACAGTCCGTCCATTAAAAAAGTTTTCAAGGCAATACCAAAATTCTAATTGATTTGCGTTCTATGACACCCAGGCAATTACAATCCCAGGGAACATTTCAATTTTTGATCACTAAAAGCAGACATCGACATTTATGTTAATGTAACCATAAGATTCAATGCAAAAAAAAAAATGTAGAGCCGTGCAATAACATTTATACGCGTCCAAAATTTTAATTACTGCTTATTGATATTTTATGATTGTTTACTAAATTTACCAAGAAAACGATGTTTTTGTTGCTCAATTGAAATCCTCATTTTAGAGCATACGTCTTGATGTCAAAGAAAGTTGGTGACGAGATGACAAAAATAGCTAAACTTCGTTTCAGCTTAAGTCCAGACGTAGCCGACGGTACGAGGGCAGGTCACTGTGCCTTTTATGTTTGTGATTGATTCAGAGATGATAGAACACCTGCAGAAACATGACGACCATCATGATGGTGCGCTTTTGTCGCCTTTTTGGTTCATCCCAGCAACTCGTATAGCGTCGGCTGTGTCTGCACCCGCTCGTTACTCAATGGCCACATTTCGCAACGGAAACTTGAGTTTCAGGAACGCAGATGAGTATAGTCTCAGAAAGTGTGTGAGAATCGGCCCCGCCATCACCGTGGGTGGACGCGGGAACAGGACCGAGCTTCTTTTTCTTTCCATTGCGTGTTGGCGTTTGCACGTGCGCCCCTGTGTGTGGGTGAACTGGCGACGCTCGTGCGAGCTGGGGCAGGGGAGGCTTTGAGAAGAGAAGAAGACAAGGACTGCACGGGCGGTAACCTTCTGCAGAGACATTCGAAAATTAGCTTGGCTTGTAAATAGACGTGTTTTTTTTTCTTCCCCCTATCCGCGGAGTCCTGTCTGGTTTATTCTTCCGTCAGCGACCATCAGCTGCCTCCGTCGTCGGGTCCCGGCGCAATCTCGATGAAAGAACATCTTTACTGGCGCAGTCGACAGGATTGCGTCAGCGGACCACGGCGGCGTGATCTTCACAACGGAATCGGCGGACAGCGACTTGACGCGGCTTTGGTGGAGCCTTCTAAAGAGAAGACTGGACCACCGATCTCCTTGAAGACTGGACCACCGCCCTACTTCGTGGTGACAGAGCTACCTCGGACCAGATGCCGTCCCACTCCAGCGAGGAACGCCTGAGTCTACAGCTCGGACATCATTTCGTGCCTGACTATTCTGAGCAGCGGGCTGCGTCTGTGATCCAGCGGCAATCGTTGACCTTACGGTAAGGTGATTCTTTGACGTGTGCCCGCCATGGATGCAGACAGCGCAGAACGGCGGATGCCGGTTCTAACGCCAGAGCAGAATAGGGGTCGGAATAGGGATGTTGACGGGCCTGGTGAATTGTCACCTTTGAGTAGATTAGTGGCAAACTCGCAGACACAAGGGGATGGGAACGGAGGAGTCCGATCATACAGCTCAATTGAAAAGGAGATAGAACTTACAAGGGAGAAAGAACGGCTGTTACGCCTCGAGCTAGAACTAGAACATCTACGCTCAGAAAACCGAAGGCGAGCCAGTGGAGGCGACATGGAGTTCAACCTCCGAGATGAAGTTTTTAGCTTTTCAAGATTGATGAAAGGAGTACTGACTTCTATGCCGTCGTCCGAAAAATTAGTGCCGAGCTGGTTTGATGGCGTAGAAAGCGTCTTCGAGACATATGAAGTCCCTGAGCGGCTCAGAGGATATCTTGTGCGACCTTATTTCACGGAGAGCATGCGTGCACTAGTGAATAGGGTGAACACGGGTGAGAGAAGTGGGTATGGTGCGGTCAAAGAACGGGTCTTGTTAGAGCTCGGACTGTCTCGAGCTGAGGTCTGGAGGCCCTTTATTGAAACCACCACTTCTCTCAAGGAAAAACGCGAGAGCCCAAGGCAGGGCATCGTACCGGAAAATTATCGGGTGAAGTGTTTTAAATGCAAGGAATTGGGGCACTATTCCCGCGAATGTCTCCGGACGAAGACACCAGAAGAACTTCTGTTTCACAAGAAAAGAGTAGACGCCAAGAATGTCACCGTGGAGGAAGGTTCCTGTCGTGAGCCCGACAAGGTGACGACCGAGGTGGGCAAGACCGACGGTACCAACTTGGACAACCAAGATCAGAAGAGGTGGGACCCATCGGTCCGCGAGGTGCCTCAGATTCTGTTACAAGCCGACGACACGAAACGGTCGTCGAAGAACAATCGCTGCTGCGTGTCTGTGCAGGCGGACGTTGACGACAGAAATGAGCTGAACGTCTCGCGTGCCTGGAGGACGTCCCAGCGAGCCGAGGATGACCACGACGAGCAGGTGAACGTCGACGACGAAAGGCCGTGCACTTGGCCTGGGCGGCAGGCGTCCCGGCGATCTGAGGACGACCCATGTGTGAACTTCGACAACGTCTTGGCCGGTCCCGACATCTTACCTGGGTTGCACAAGTTCCTACAAGCCAATAACGACGACGTTGAGAACGTGGGCGCCGGTTACAAAGAAGAACCGAGGGTATCTTCTGGGAGGCGGAAATGCCGGCAAGTCAAAGATGACGACGGCGAAAACGTGGACGGCGACGAAGGACCGAACTTATCGTCTGGGCGGCAGGCGTTCCGGCAAGCCGAGGACGACGACGGCGAGAACGTGGACGACGAAGGACCGAACTTATCGCCTGGGCGGCAGGATGACCATGACGAGAACGTGAACGTGGACGACGAAAAAGAACCGGATATTTTGCTTTGTTGGCAGACGTTCTGGCAAGCTGATGACGACCACGGCAAGGAAGTGGGTGTCGACAAGAAGTCGGACATCTTGTTAGGGTGGCTGACGTCACAGCCGGCCGGTGAAGGTGTCAGGGAAAGCGGGGACAGTGACGAGGACACCGTCTTCGAGATGAAGATGTCCCAGATTATAGCTAAGGACGCCGATGAAGACTCGACCACCTGCCAGCCGGCCACGTATGAGAGAGCTGGGAGTGTAGAAGACGTCGACAACGGCGACCACCTGCGAGGCCCTTTCCTGATTCGTAAATCAAGACAGAGTATAAACTGTCGTCGCTCTGGCGCGGAGAAATTCCGGAAACAGCTACACACCGTCCGATTCAAGCCCCGCCGAAATCTGGGTGGCTTGAATAATCTGTCGACAAAGAGGCCTAGGCTAGGAGGCTAGATGCTGCGCTGGTCTCGGCTCGAGATTCGTCACTGCTTTGGAGCCTTGGCGGGCACAGTAAGAATCACTTTACTGGTGTGTGATTCGCATTTTGGTGTAAATTTTTTTTATAGTTTGGATTCTGACGGGTTGAGTCACAAACTCTATGTAAGGTGTGTCTGCTATGCGTACGCGTTTGAGTTTAGTTGTTATATATTATTTTTGACATTTCGGGTCTAAAAAATATACTTAGTCGGGAGGTGTGAGAATCGGCCCCGCCATCACCGTGGGTGGACGCGGGAACAGGACCGAGCTTCTTTTTCTTTCCATTGCGTGTTGGCGTTTGCACGTGCGCCCCTGTGTGTGGGTGAACTGGCGACGCTCGTGCGAGCTGGGGCAGGGGAGGCTTTGAGAAGAGAAGAAGACAAGGACTGCACGGGCGGTAACCTTCTGCAGAGACATTCGAAAATTAGCTTGGCTTGTAAATAGACGTGTTTTTTTTTCTTCCCCCTATCCGCGGAGTCCTGTCTGGTTTATTCTTCCGTCAGCGACCATCAGCTGCCTCCGTCGTCGGGTCCCGGCGCAATCTCGATGAAAGAACATCTTTACTAAGTGTTCCAAAATGCGCCTCTGGCGCATGGGAACGCAAGGAGGGGTACGCCGATCAAAGGATAACATAGGTAACGCGTACTATAGGGAACGCACGATAACGAGGCAACAAAAGCGCGCGCCGCCTTTGGTTGAGGGGGGGAAACAAAGACACGTAAACTGATTTGTGGGTAAACAAACGCACGGGGTGCGCAAGGAGCAGACGAACTTGCGTGCCGTATTGCTTCATCTAAAGGTTTGTTAATAAGACGTCATACTGGTCGTACAGCCCTTAGCTTTTCCCTTGAAGGCGCCAGAGATTTGTAGTAAAATCCCTAAATAATGATCGTTTGAGCACATTTTGAGGCGATTTTAAAATTAAAACTACGCTTACAATAAAAGTGAAAAAACTTAAGGCGTACCGGAGGTCTGTTATATATTGATATTAAGACCATGACGGCAAGACTAAATGTCGTGGTATTTGAGTATTTGTGTACATAAATTGGACAGGACAGTTTCCGCTAGATTTATTTTCAATAAGTTCAACGAGATGGCGGCGCCAGCACCAAACACCCCAAGACAGAACCGTATATAGAGAGACTTTAGGCATTCATTGGGAAGCACAGGAGGCAAAAGCGGGGTGGGCATGTTCCAGGGCGTTTTCACAAAATGTGACCAACCAGAAGCCGCGAATAATATCCTGGCAATGGCCGCGAGAAACAAAATTAATAGAGCCGTCGGAGTAACTTTCGGTGACTGAAAATCCGGTGCACGTGATGTTTCCTTCACGGTCATCCAGAATCAAAATCAATCAAAACTATGATTCATCTGCATATTTTAGATTATTTCCTCTTTGGAGATTACGGACGAAGATGAAAGTGCCCGTATAATATACATACATATACACATATATATATATTAGTCTGTTTCAAAGTAAAAAATAAATAAACTTTTTGTTGCTTTTTCTTCATTCAGCTTTTTAAGGCTCTTTTTCGACTTTTCCAACTTTCGTATCTTCAACTTTTTAATGTGATAGTATCAAACATGTAAGCAAGCCCCTATATACACTTTTTTATTATTTTTCTTTTTATAAGAATTCAACATAGACATCAGTCGTAACGATGTCCGTGATGGTCAGTATCAAATGCCGACAACAAATGCGTCAGCGGCTTCCGCCATGTCCTTTTTTACTCGCTGGGGGTACTTTTTAGAAGCAACAGGGCAAAAGGGCGAGGACACAACAGGGAGATACACAAGACACAAAGGCGCTGCATCACTTTTGTGTGTCTCCCTGTCGTGTCCTCGTCCTTTTGCGCTGTTGTATCCTAGTATGAACCACCAATCGCCCAACCCTCCATCTATAGCAAGGTACAGTCTCCAACAATACTATAAACCCACTCGACGAGGCAATTCCAGGTGACTGTGCTGGATACGGATTGACCTGCAGCCTCACATTGACTGGATGAGAAAATAAATGAACATTTGTTCTATATTTCCTTTAAAAATCAAGTGTCTCTGACCAAAGTATGCTCCAAACACACACGAACTGCCTAGGCAAATTGTGGGAGATTGTACCTTTAAAAAAAAAGAGACCTAGCATTTGCGTCTGCGTGTCAAATTTTGCTCGCTTGTAGAAGTAGTAGTGATTTTTGTAACATGAATTCAGATATCTGTGATTAAACTTGTTTGTGCATCGCTGTTCAGTTGCGGGCTTCGTTGAGCAAGATGAAGGACCTCTTGGGAGCTTCCTTGGAAGATATCACCTGGCTGAGCTCTAGGGACACCCCGAAAGCATTAGACAAGGTAGCCTGACGACTTTTGTTTGTGTTCTCGTTGCGGAGCCTTTTTGTTGCGTTGCATTTTGCTGAGCTCACATTTCTAATGCATTCAGCTGAAACGGGTGGACTTCGTCGAATTCTTTCCTGGGTGGGTAATGAGCGAAGAAGAGCGGAATGTCTTCTACGAATCGGTAAGTGTTCCCCTGCAGTGGGTCGGTGAGCCCCTTTGCTGAGCGGCTCACATTTCTCGAGAACAAATTGGGCAATGCTAGGAATATGAACTCTCAAGCCAAATAACCAGGATGACTCTTCCTTACGCATGATGTTCCCACAGGAAACAACAAAAATTTGAAGAAAACTTTTACTGAGTTTGTTACACTCATTATCGTATTCTTCTATTTAGCAGCGGTGTTATTTTAAGTTATATAAAAAAGTCTAGCGTTCCATATGTCCTCTAAGGTATTCATCACTGCTGCTTTAACATTGTGACTGAGTGATGGAATAGCAGCTCCCCCCTCTTCCCCTTCCCACTGCTATCCAGAACACGTGGGCGCGGGTGCCTCATCTAATATTTCATCCGCCCCTCGGACCCGGAATTTCCGAACTCGATCATGTAGAAGTTTGAGTTAAAATTGTCAACTTAGTATAGGTCGCGAGAAATTATCACAGGGCTCAGGACACATTCGAAATAACCCTTTGAATACAGCGCCAACATGTGCAGCGGTGAAATCCATTTGACCCCTGGAGCCCGCCCCGTCTGGAGTTATAATGCCTGCCATCTTTAGAAAAACTACTCGGCCCGTTTGGTCGAAGCGCGGTTAAGGGCTAACCGCGGCTAAAGTTAGCCGCAGTAGCTAGGAGAGGGATTTTGAAATCACGTGACTGGCTCGGCAGGGATGCGGGGCAACATGGCGGTGCCCCGGTGAGTGAGCGCCGCTCGCTTTGGAACTATAATATGTCGTTGTAGTAGCTGCAATATCGGGCGCGTTAGTCAGCAATGAATGGTGCAGGAAGCTTTGGCTTTGCCTTACCTCACTTAAATCGCAAAGCATGAGCAATGCTCTCGTCGCATTTTTCAGATAGTCTTTTGATTCTGGCCATTCCTAAGCCTAAATGAACGCGATAATTGTCGGCATGGCAATGTCTTTGGAAAGTGGATTGCCTTGACTCAATCGGCCAGGTTTCTATAGCACACAAAAGCAGACAGCATCCCAATGAACCTTTTCCACATAGCGACGGCACCAGGCGGTGGCAGCACGAACTAAAAATCGAGGAAGTGACCTACCTGCGCTACCAATCGATTATGGAGGCTACATTACCAGTTTCTTCGCTTTCTGAGCAGCTGCGCGTGCCCAGCGCGACTTTAAAGAGGGGAATCTGTGGCGTCCACCCAAACGTCGTGTTTTCCTTTCCGTCGACGTTCTTTTTTTGTGTAACACAATTATATATATGCTGCAGTTACGTGTTCTATATGCAACCTCCTTCCGAATTTCCTCGAGTTTTCGTTCCGACTTCCGCCGCTTGGCATCGGGCGCTCGCGCGTGGGCAGAACGCTTCTCGGAAAAGGTCCATTGACTCCGTAAGTGTGACGTCATGGGTCCAAACAAACCGTTGCTGGGGCCGTTGTTATGGACAAATACATGTGGCTAGGTTTCACTACGAAAACCCGACCGGTCAAAAATCGGGAGTAGGATTTAAACTTCTAAAAATCACAGATATAGAAAGTTTTAATGTCATATGTGTTTCGACAGAAGTGTGCCGGTAATCGCTTGTTTCTGAAATATTCACGACTGTAACTTCCGGTCGTCACGATGCCTGCTGCAGACGACGAATGCAAGAAGTATGCCGTCTGCCACACGCCGGCCGGCCAAGCCGGCGCCGTCGTTTGGATCATGTGAATAAATACGGTATTCTGATATTGCATTACTTTGAAATATAATGAGTTTCAGACAGTTATAAGAATTCATAGTGGGGTACGAGGCAAAGTATGGTTTATCGAAATTCCGGGCGTCGATTGAGATGATCGTCTGCTAAAAGATCTCAGTGCACCCGTGAGAAAAGCACTTCAAGCGATCGGTTGAGATCCCAAATTTTGTTTACGGACTCGCGCTATGCGAGGGTGCTTCGTACCTGGTTGTAACCATCGCTGCGATGGTTACTACCAAATAGCGATAGACATGCTTACAACCCCAATAATAATAATTAGCGACTTACGTCGATGGCGTACGATTTGTTTCTCATGCTGGCCTGCAATAAGCCGGTAATGCACTTCAGGTCGTCGTCGTAACTGATCTGCATGACGTGGTTTGATTTACGGCATTTTCACCGCCATAAATTAAGCTGGGTTCTTCACAGAAAAAAAAAGAAAAACGAACATTTCGGAGGCTTCTACGGCCATGGCGATGCACTTGTTTTTGTCGCTTGTTTACCGACGCAATTCTATGAAGACGCCCGCTACAACAGAGGCCAGCCAATCTATCGTGTCGTCTGCTACCAAAGCAAAGCGGAGTGGAATACTTCGAAAATGGCTTTCATCGTTGCAATACGATGCTGAGATGACAAGAACATCTTCATAATTAGATATCAAGAAGTTAGGTTGCTTACAAAAAATGATTTACTTGTAAGCAAAAATCTAGCCTCATGTGGAGTCTCCATGCAGTAGTCCATAGCAACGTCCCTAGCAACGGTTTGTTTGGACCCAGACGCCATGTTGTGACGTCATCACTTACAAAGTCCAATAGACCCTTTCCTAAATTTCCAAAGCACGCGTCGCACGTGCTGGCCTATGCAGTAGTAATTTTTCTAAAGCAAAAAGTCTAAAACAAATTTTGCCTTGCACGCGCGTTCGTCAAAGCCTTATTATGATTATTTACTTCGAATTTTTTATAAGAGGAAGGCCAGCGCGCGCGGTCCGTAAAATTAAGCGTGTTTCACATGCAGCGGTTTTGGCCCTAGAGCGGCGCGATTTCTGCCGTCGCGGCGCACTGGCCAGTACCAGCGGTTGAGCGGCACGAGCGCCGCGACGGCAGAAATCGCGCCGCTCTGGGGCCAAAACCGCTGCATGTGAAACACGTTTCACACTTCCAGCGTTCTCCTCGATGCTTGGGTAATTTACCAATAGGCCTATTTTCACCGTAGCCAAATAAACAGGTGTTTCAATTTATGTTGGTGTTATATACAGTTCTTACATGCTGGCCAGCCATGCTGCCAATGTACTGCCCGCCTTTCACTGCTCACTTCTTCCTTTTCGTTTCTATAGGACTGAACTTCGTCGTCCTCTTTCAAACTTGGAAGGAAATTTTGACGAGGCTTGTTTTCAATTCAGGCAGCCAAGCATTTAGAAATAATCCAAACAAAGATAATTAAATTTAACTTACCCAAGATCTATACCACGAGCAACAAAAATTTGTCTGCTCAAATGTATGCCGTGATGAGTTGCGAGAATCCAGTAGCGCGCATTGTTGGGTCCCCCCTTTTTGGGACCTCGCTACAACCAGTAGGTGACACCAGCTATCACCCTATAATAAAACACAAGGCTAACGCTCATCCAGCCCTCGTCAAACTTGGGTAGGTACCTAGTAGGGAAGGGCGATTAACTTTTAACCGCGGTTAAAATTAACCGGCTTCGAGCAAACGGGCCCTGAAGACAAACACCAATGCGATCGCGAACGTGGAAACTGTGTACGCCGCAGCCATTTTGTCGAACCAAGCGACGGGGCCATGCGTGGCTCCCCGCATCCCTACCGAGCCCCCAGTCACGTGATTTCAAAATCCCTCTCCTAGGCTGCGGCTAACTTTAGCCGAGGTTAGCGCTTAACCGCGCTTCGAGCAAACGGGCCCTGACATGGTTCCTAACCTCGTTATTGCTATCTACACTTACCTGGGGCTTGTAAAAGAAAAACAAAAGGCTATATTGTGGCACGCGTGTTCAATATGGTGTTTAGAGGCGTTTGTGGGTGCAGCACTATTTGAATGCAGGTACGAGACGTTCCCGTGGGCAACCTACTGAGAAGCGTGATGAGTGCCAAGACCGCTCACATCGACAATCGTTTCCGTCGCCTTCTCTATAACCCCAAGCACGTCGGGTAAGTCAACTTCTCTCGTGCATATTGTTCAATCGTCTGCAATCATATATTAGTCAATGACCCACTTCATGACCCAATTCGAAAAGTTTGGAATTAAGCCATTCGAGAGTTTCCGGAGTAACGCAATAGTTTCTTGGTGCTGCCAGTTGTATTCTATGCACTTGGTGTTGTTCTTTTGTGGGAATGTTAAATCACATTTGACATATATATATATATATACGACTCCGTAATCATAGTTGAGCTCATAATATGTCAAATTTGAGTGAAGCACGGTCGCGCTGCGCCGTGAGCTGCGGAGACAGAGAAAGTGATCGTTTGCGGAGGTAAGGGGGTATAGCATTGGTGTGCAGATATTCTGTTTTGTGAGCAGAACTTTTTTAGTTGAGATACGTGATATACACTTGCGAAACTGAGAACGTTTGTTGACCATTTCGTTCTTTACATTACATTCCGCAGGTGCTTATTTATTTACTTATTCAATATACCTCAAAAGCCTTTTGGCTTTAGCTGAGTGGGTGGGCTGTTCAGTTTGATAAACCAAATTAAGAAAACAAAAATTAAATAAGTGCTCATAAACCAAAAATTGAAGAGCACACACTGCAAAACATGTATACACATAAACTTGTACATATTAACAAAACTCAAGATGTTAACACAAGTAAATATAACACAAGCACATAGACATGAAATAAGTTGAACTTTCAGATATTTTATACCACAACCTAAAACATTTTGTCTATTAAAACACGTGGTTGGTAATTTTGTAATGAAAATGGTTGCTAATTCTGGGCGTAAATTGCCTGGATCATAAATAGAAACAATGACATCGGGAAGATAATGCCGCGTGGCAAAGAAGGGTTATTGAATGCTATGTTGACCCAAACATAAGTTTTGAAGCTCTTGGTGCTAAAGCTACATGATTATTTATATCGGCTTCAAGGAGCGAGGTGGATGTCCGAGTGGAATTGCTATGTAATCTGTGAGTTATCGTATGTTCTTAATTGTACGCCGCGTTTCCAGCAAGGAAATCGTATAATTTTGTTTAAATAATGAAATGCTGTCGAAACGTGAATATGATGTCCAAGTGAAACGAGCAGCTCAATTTTGAATATATTCAATTTAGTTAATGAAGATGTTTGGTGGGGAGACCATTCATGCAGATAGCGAATGCGTATTTAATTTTGGGCGGACATAATGTTTATCAAGATAGTTTGCGGGGGTAAGAAGGTGTATATATTAGATTACGCTTTACCTAACCGAGGGTAAGGGAAGCTTTAGACGTTATAGTGTTAATGTGGGAGACCCAAAAAAAGATTTCAGGTTAGTTCGACACCGAGATGCTGATAAGCGGAAAGAGCGATGACGGGTGAATTCTTGAGTGAATAAGCAAATTCTGAGTTAGTGCGTTTATAGGCGAAAGAAACGAATTTACATTTTGTTTTTGCGGCACCAATTAATTACCTGGTCAATATCGTTTTGACTTTTTAAGTGATCGTCTGGATTATTTTTTTTTATTGCACACAGAGTGGATCCTTCCTCGAGGAGTCCTTGTATGTCGCTCATTGCCTCAGTTGCTTTGCCACGTAAAGCCCCAATATTTCCAGAACGTTTACCGTTTTTGTTTTAACATTTAACGAAAGGACTAGGATGAACAAAGGTATAGTTCAGTACTTTAATATTATAGGGATATCCTAGCCGACTTCCATTTTAGGAACCAATCGTTGAAGCAGGAGTTGTTTTGTCAATGTGTAATACGACACATGTCATCGTCAAGAGCCAAATTAATGCTTCTTTGTGTTTGTTGGAGGACCATTTTATACTCGAAAACATCGCAGGTGGTTCGGGTCGGTGTTCGATGTCCACGTGACCTATGACCCGCAGAACAACACATTGTGTAAGTATACACATCTCGTGTGGAGCGTTCAAAATATTGGAAGTTCCACGACAAATGTTTCCAACCCTCGCGACGCTGGCTTTATAAGCCTCAATAGCAGCTGCATTTATTTGTGCCTAATTCTGACCTATCCGAACTTCCATGCGATGTCCCCTATTGTGGTTTGAATGCAGACGTCCCGATGGCAATGTTTGCTGAACCCATGGGCTTCGACAGCACCGAGACGTAAGCATGCCTGTAAACGGTGTTTGTTTTAGCTTAGTATGTATGGTGAAACGCAAGAACAGAGGGATCACTCGACATTTATAAAATGCCTAACTTTCAGACAGCACAGAAATATGAACTCTTCTTGTGAAAATCTCTCGACAGGCAGTCCACAAATATTTTATTATTAATTCTTTATTATAGCAAAAGCAACCCTATTGATACTGTTCAGACTAGATTGCCTAAATTTTCCTGTAATAGAAGACCATAAAAAAATTGGGCCAATTACTTGTAGTCTGAGGAGTTGTCAGATTACTGTAGGAGACAAACGTCTCGGTCAGTGAGTGTAGAGCGCGGTTGTCGTCCTTTTTCTCCCTTAAGAAATCATTATTTTTGGTGACTTTGGCACTGCTTGTGCTGTGCCAGCTACTCTATTGCAGCGCGGACGGCCTGTTTTTTTTTTTCTATTTAGCTTAAATGGCATGTCAAACGCCCAGTGTTTCTGAACTAAATACAATTTACCGTTCGAAAATTCGGGTAGGAGTGAAATTAAAAAAAAATCGCTCAATTTAATTTGATGAGAACTCTATACGAAGTCCTAAGGACGGACACCTGCCCGCAGTCCACTGTACATTCCTCGCGTGCTGGCCGACATGGCGCACAAGCTGATGGGCGTTGTCACCGGCCTGGGTTCGCTGTACGACGGGAACAACGGCGTCGGGAGCTGGTGGACCTTGGGCACGGCCGACGTCTACTCCAACTATAGTCGCTGTCTCTCGCGGCAGTACAACGCATCACTGGATTTCGGCAAAGCCGCCAAGGTGAGAGCGGCAGCCGAGGCACGCTTCGGCAAGAAGATAATCGTGTGACGACGCCCTCAGCGAAAGAGCATACAGCACGCGACATCGGACCTTAGTGCCCAATGCATTGTAAACGTTAAAAAAAAACGAAATCGTATATGAGAATTATTATGTAGTGAGTTTCAAGCCGCATCTGACAGAGATGTTCACTCAGCGCTTCTTTCAAACTTGCAGCACTACAGCGCCAAGACGGTGGAATCCAACGTGAGGGATAATGCAGCCCTTCCTTTCCTCCAAAAGGTTAGGTCATTATTTTTTTTCTTCTGATAATATTATGCTGACCTTAGTAGTTTTGTGTAATATGCCTTGAAACGCAAACGCAAGAAAGCGCCGTAGATTTTTTTTTTTTTTAATAAAACTTATTTCCCTTTAGTTTGCATATCCGGAGGGTTTAGTAAGGGAAAGATCACTGCGTTGAGAAGGGAAGCGGGCTTGGACCCTCACTAACCTCCATTTGGCTCGCACCATGCATCACTACTGGCACTCGTAGTGCATAAATAGCACAATTACTCGACTAACTTATGCATTGTTTCGAAACAAGAGCTGTGAGAAAGCGTTTCCCCACAACACACGGACGACCGATCATTTCGACCTATTCTATGCAGTGAGCGCAAGGCCCATCATTTGCATAGTCATAGAAAGTGATTCCAAAACTTCAATCTGCGCTCGATTCCTGGCACGTAAAACATCAGTCTCAGTGTCGTAGCTTATATTCGCGACTTACCATTACTCCTGCCTCGCAAGGTTATTTCAATAAGAGCAATGACAATCGACCATCTCCATGCTTTCTGGGGAAAGCTGTGGGCCTTTTCCGCAAATGGCAAAAAAAAATATCCAGGTAAATTCAATGCATGCATCAAAAGACAGATTGCTCCAACTTGGCGTGACTCATAAGAGTGTTTGGTTCGGCTGCTCCACGTTACAGTACGGTAACATATTTAAGGCTCTCTCTTAAAAGTTTGAAACTTCTTTAATCGGGGAATATCGTAGCCTATGTTCTAAAACTTTCAAATAACTTTTGCGGTATCAGCAAATGTGTATGACGGTGTGCCGGACATGTTTTTTCGCCCCATCCACCAACCAGATGTTCACTCAGCATCTCAGGGAGAGGGGCATCAAGGGAAACTTCATGCTGCCCAATCTGGCCAATGTTACCAAGATGCAGCTCTTCTACATAGCCTTTGCCATGGTGAGGCGTCAAGTAAAACAGCTCTCGTGCACCGCGATTATGTCACAGCAGGGGTTCCTCAGTTTACTTGTTTCTAAACAACAAACAAACTAGAGATGCGAAACCTTTTAGAATATGGTCAATGCACCCGTTTCCTTATATCAATTCCTTTGGCGTTAAGATGCTGTTATAGAGTCATCTTCGGAGTATTTATCTTCGGTATGTTCCCTCGCTGCAGCCGTTCGTGAAGCCATTTAAATATAAAAGTAGCTGATTCTATTTGAGTAGAAATGACAAGACAAAGCTAGGCTTATCGACTCAGGGCTTCGGTGGATTACAATAGACACAGCCGAAGCTCCATTTACTCTCGCATCATTTGCTCTGCTACTGACAGGTCCTTTAACAGAACTCACGAGAAGAAGGCTCAAGCTTCAAAAGATTCAAGCAAAAATAGACAGAACTAAACGGCACACGAGATTTTCAGCCCGTGGCTTGTCATCGTCCCTTCCGCCGTCACTTACAGTCTCACTCTCCCGTAACACATATGTGAAAAGAATACTTTATCTTATTCCAGAGACAATTTGCTCTCACTTGTTGGCTGTAAATAATAGCGAATGCATTGCGCATGCGTACAGCGTTCAGTGCAGACATGTACAAATTACTCAAAAAAGGTAGTTAAGTTAAGTTACTGAGTATCGACGCCAAAAGTAATTAGAGTAGAGTAGAAATTACGAATTTGTTATAGTAATTGAGTAAACTACTAACTACTGTAAAAAGTAGCGAGTTACTTTGAAGTTACTTTCCAAGTTACTTTTTTATATTTTTGTGGTAGCAAGATGAAAAGCAGTTTTGATCAATGAAAAACCCTGCGAGCCTAAAATTAACGCAGTCTATTTATGGCTTGCGGTTTCGCCAAAATAGTTTATTCGCTCGCAGAAGCAATTGACTTTAGCAAACTAGAACTGACGTTCGGGTTAAAATCTCTGCCTTTCCTTCATAAACCACTACTACTACTAAAGTTCTTGATAGGAGAGTTTTCCCTTTTTCCTTATAAAGACCTCCCCAGCCAAGCTAAAAAGACGTTCCACCGAGGGGCTGGATGGAACGGCAGCATTGAATTTGAGAAACAGGCTGTGCAGGGTCGGGTAAGCGAGTGTCGGCATCTTAGGTATCCATGACGAAACATGTAAGGTTTGCCTCGGGTAGAAAATCTTTTATAACAAACTTTCCACGTTTTATCTTTTTTCTTCGTCAAGTTGACATTGTTATGACTGCCCCCTCTTTATTCCGACGTCGTTCTGAGGGTACGCTGAGCGAGTGCACCAGACCGTCAAGGGTTCAAGTCTCGCGCCACGACGATGAGATCATCCGGACGACTGCGCGAAAAAAAAAATTGTTTTTGTTTAACAGATGATGAACCGAAGTATACTTCGCCGCTGACGCCGGGTCCAACAAAAATATCTCCCAAGGGTAACTCCCAATCCTCGCCGGCGACTGCAATATTCTGACGCGCCTGACACGTGCCTGACAAGTAAATCGTTTTTAACAAAGAGGAGTTCTCCCAGGTATGGATGGTAGGAAGGACGCGTAGGATTACGTGAACAAGCATCGGCGCTCGTATACAGTTGCGGCTAGAAGCGGGAACGTGCTCCCATGAGTGGATTATCCGTGCCAGGGTTTGTGCGCGGGGGCTTTGCAAGGGCGTATGCGCTGACGACAAGGCGACCATGGGAACAGGCGCCCAGCTGCGAGGTCATTCCAGTGGCGCCTACCGTGGAACCTACTGCTTGAGTCAGAACTCACTAAAGACAGACAACACGAAAACAACAACTCTCGGATGTCCCCGTCTTTCACGGTTGCAGCTGGAAACGCGGCGCCTGCGTGCATTACAGGATTAGGTCAATACCCGACCAAGGCTTGTTAAGCATCTCTTCCTGCGTTCGTGTAGCCTCGTCCCACTACAGCGACAAACAGCGATTTTTGTCCGACGACACCACAAAGTTCCGTGTCTCCGATGCTGTCCCACTACAACGACCAATGCCCGCGACAATCGCCGACACGCGCCGACAAACGATCGACGACGGACGAGTCCTTGTCTGTCGTTGGACTTGAAACGCCGCAAGCAGTCCCACTGAGGAACATGTCTCGGAGACAAACGTATCCTCCTCGCCCGGTTGTGCCTTCTGTTGCCTCCCTTCCCACCCTTCTACCCTTCCTCCCGTTCCTCCCGTGGCTCGCTTCGCCGCTAGACCTTCAGAAAAGCCCTTGGCGGCCACTCCTCGTTCCCGCAGTTCCGGTCCCTCGATTGCTCGTCGCGGGCGCGGCTTGCTTGCTTGCGCCGGGCGGTCGGGTTGCGAAGGGGAATTTGCTGTGGTTGGTTTTGCTCGCGAAAACTTGGTGCGTGAGGTGGTGCTTCAAGACGCCGAGGTCTACGGCCCTGCATCAGGATGGATACCCACTCATGTTCGAGGACTAACCAAAGTAAGACCTCTCAACACGAAGTAGGACACCACGTTCCGCGGCAAGCCATTCCGGCAGACGAGAGACTTGTCATCACGTTCTGTGATAATCGGGATGCCTTATTGTCCTCCAAAAAAACGCCTGCCCTTGATCATTCGGATACGAGGTTATAAACATCCTCGAAATCGGCGTGAAGTTCCGTGGCGCTCACCTAGAATTCCTCGATCGACTCAAAAAAGGAACGATTCGGTTATTCTAACTCGGAAAAAGCTTGGTGTCGATTGTCACGACTGTTTGCGGAAGGTCGCCAACGGCAAATAAAGACAAGTGAATGCTTTAATCAAGAAATAAAGTAATCGTCTCCTCTTACACCGTGTTTGTCGGCGCGTTTTATGCCCAAAGAGCAAAACACGAAAACCGCGTCGCCAGACTCAGTTTGTCTGTGTATTTCGAAGTGTTTTGTTGACAACTCCAGTCCCACTAGGAAACAAGTTTCCTTGTCTCTGTGTTCTGCGTCGTGTCCGCCAAGTGGGACGGCGGACTTCGACAAACAGGCTGTCTGTCGGTGTCGTCTGTCGCTCGTTGTCGTGTGTCGCTGTCGTTTGTCGCTGTCTGTCGCTCTAGTGGGACGCGGCTATTATGTTTTGGCTGCTCGTCGCCACCTTGATCCAAGGACGCCTTCCCGAACAAGGGGGCCCCTTGTTCGGGAATGCCACTTCATCTGCCGGCGTCTTATTCATTTCTGCGCTCAAACTTTCGTGATGGGCAAAATTAGCACTATATAATTTCGAAAGTAGTTAGTAATTTGAGTAGAAGTTACCTAAAAAAAGTAGTTAAATTAAACTACTAATTACCCAAATAAAGTTGCAATTGAAAGTTACCAAAATACCCGAAAAAGTAGTTAAACTACAGTAGTTTGAGTAGAGTAGTTGAACTACGTCCAAGTCTGGTTCAGTGTCGGTTACCGTTATCGATGTTTTTCAGGATATTTTTTTTTTTGTTCGGTCACACTCACACTGTACTAAATGTTTTTCTTGGTCTAACGTGCTAAAAACAACGAACATAAACCCGTATCATGCTTCTCAGCCTTATGTTTCTGGCCATGACCGGCTTTCTGGAGTACTGAGAATGTAACAGAAAGTCCCATCGTGGCTTCGATCGTTTTGAAATTCGGCTAACTCAGGTAAAACTATTCTAATCACTTCCGTGCAATGTATGGTATGTAGCTTTATATTTATATGTGTTCACCCCTTCATGTGTGCGTTGCATGCGTTAAACGACTCAAATCTTGCTTCCTTAAGCTTCTTTTTTTTTTTTTTTTCTCTTTGGACAGGGGTTTTGCGAAAACTCCATTGACGGCTTCGTTCAAACTCACATCAAAACGTCAACGGAAGCCCTAGCCAGGCACAGGTGAGAATGCGATAGGATTCGAAAAAGAAGAAAAAGAAACGAGTTTTGATCTTTACTAAGAAATAATAAATAAATAAAGTTTGCACTCTAAAAAAAGTCTGTGCGTCTACTTTCACGCACAAAACTCGGAGAGCCAACCACCGCAACTTACGGAGTTAGTTCAGCGAATGAGGATGCCGAAACATAAGTTTAGACCGAAAAACGCAGTCTGAGTTGTGACATTAAGCAATGCAAAACGTCACGCTTGCATTGCTTAATGTCACAACTCCGTCTGCGTTTTTTTTTTTGGTCTAAACACATGTTTCGGCATTGTCATTCGCTGAGCTGCCTCCGTAGGTTGCGGTAATTGGCTCTCCGAGTGTTGTGCGGGAAAGCAGACTCATGGGCCTTTTAGAGAGTGTATCGATCTTGAATTTTCGAGACGATACACCTTGTCAAATCTTCCTCTTGTGTTTCATGCGCCGCTCCGCGATGTCAGATGCACGGTAAATGAAATAACCTAATCACTAGGCTCAGACTAACCTTACCCGTTTAAATAAACATTCTCTCTATAGGGAACATTCACTGGCGGCCATATCTGTGTGCGCGGCTGCTGAGCGCGTGCTGACGGCGAGCTTCCGTAGTTCTTCTGCAACGTGCATTCCGCACCGTCGAGACTGCCGGTCTTAGCAGCCTAGTAATGTGAGCTCGTTCCGATCATGCGCTCTATAGACGCTTTGCAGCAGCTGTGCATGGACGCCGCCATAACTGACCTTCAGTTTTTGTTTCCTCTTATTTCGTTCATTTTACTTCATCATTACCGTAGCAGGCCAGGTTATTGCCATATTAGATTTAACTGTGTCATTTTCTAAAGCATCGGCCTTTGTAGAGGATTGTCGACTACCGTTTCAGTTGCTCGGCATCCCGGTAAGACAAGAGAAGGTCAGCAATGGCGGCTGTAATTTGGCGCGTGTGTAAAGCGTCTATACATCGCCCTCAAATATGACACCAAGTGAATACCTCCTATTGGCGACGTGCGCGATCAAAAGCGTCGCTGTGGTCGGCATTCCACGATTGGCCGAATGGTGACTATGACGTCAGCAAAGGTTTTCTCATCGACAGAAATAAGAGTAATATAAGAACTTCAACTTTAATGGTGTTAACAGTGTTTGTTTCAGAGCGCAATGATCTCAAGCTTCCACCATGCTAATTATAAACACCGTCGAACTTGTTGTTCGTAAGGTAATGACGTCACGAGAGGGAACCATAGGAGGGCGCCACAAAAACATCTCGCCGCTAATACCGCCTGTAAATAGTGAAGCCTTTGCTTCGCTTATCACATGCAAGGGTGGCCAAGCTGCGGCTCACGAGCCGCATGCCGTTTTTCGCATGGTAAAGTGCGGCTCGCCCCCCCCCCCCCCCCCCCCGCTTCCCCTCTCCCGCCTTTGTCCCGGTCACACGAGCACTTCCCCTAGGGAGCCTTCATGTGCGCTCATGAAGGTACTCTAACTTCCCCAAAAAGAGAAATGGAATGCGCTTTAAATTGAAAGACAAGTTGCGGTTCGGTAGTCTTGTGCTACTGCTACCCTACGTACAGCCAGACTGCTTTTGACTCGGATAGTTCGAGTTTCGTTTATTGCTTTAAAAAAAAGTCCCCCCCGCCCCCCCCTCCCCCCCCCCCCCCCCCCTCCCTCTTCCCGGCGGCTCTTAGAAGTTTCGTGGTGTTGTTTGCAACTCTTAGGCCGGGTCAGCCTGGCCACCCCTGGTCTATCGTGTGTGTAAGCACCTACTCTCTTGGATTGGTTGCCATTCGACATACGAAGCACAGATGTCTCGGCGTCTTGCGGTCGTAAATCAACGTCTTTCTCGGGATTGTACCAATTCATTTTGTAGCATACTTTTTTTTCTGTTTTGTTCGGAGCGCGTAATAGAGCGCTTCTCGGCTCGAGCTCTTAACTTTGACTGGTGCAACGACGCCAATGTGGTTCACGTTATTTATTTTTTTATTGTTCCTGATCAATTTACAACATATTTAAGAGGAGAAGCAGGATCTTCTTGCCAATACGCATGTTTACGTAAAAAGTCTGCGGCGAACAACGTGGGAAAAAAAATCAAACTTTTACAAATAAAAAAACAAACAGATAAAACCACTTCTACTTTAGAAAAAACCGGACGCCCACGCCCCTTATCTCAATTGTCTGTACTTCTGTAAGTGGCGCATAAAGTGAATTCAAACTCAGCTACTCTTAATCTGAGCACAAATGCGGGAGGCCGGTTTTTCTGTCAACTTCCGAGCGAACATATCGTAAGTCAGCTTCATAGATACGTTCGAGTTTTTCTTCGTGAGTAATCAGGTGGAACCGTAAAAAAGATAAAGTCATTAGCTTAAGTACTGCATAAACATGTCTCTTTAAATATGCGGTTGTACATACTAGAGTTCCTGTATAGGCTCCCTACGGGAGCTAGAGTTGCGCGTTCACCCCCGGAGTGCCGGCTTTCCTGCACGACGTGCGGAGTCTGCTCCTCACGTGACTGAATTCGGCGAATAGCGGCGCCGCGCTCAAAAGCAGGGGTACGTACGCCGGGGTGTGTGCGACGTCTACTTTCTTGCATGGCACTTTCCTGCGTTAATCTCGGCGAATACCGGCGCGGCGGCACGTGGAAAACAGACGCGCAGCTCTGGAGCCTATACAGGAACTCTAATACATACCTGCAATGTCAAAACAATAAAACGTTTTCATTGATAAATAAAACGTAACGCAAAAGTAACGCGCATTACTTTTTATATGTAAGGGTAACGCATTCATTTTATTTTGATGTAGCGTAGGTCGGTAACGCGTTCTTTTTGTTTACAAGTAACGAGTAACGCAGTTCTAACAAAAGGGCAAACAGTGCGCTAAATACAGGGGCAGAGTAGAAGTGCACACAGGTCAAGCGCCTGTCCTGTGTGCACTTTTATTTTGTTGCTGTTCGTTTCGCGCTGTTTGTCATTTTGTCGGTGTTAACCAACTACCCCACATCGCCACACTAATGTATTTGGTTACTTTTCTTCTGTAACGCCTACAACTGTTTCAGGGTGAACATTCCGCTCTGGAACATCGACGGGTTCGGCGACGCCTTCCGCTGCATAAAAGGATCCGCCATGAACCCGCGCCAGAAGTGCAAGTTCTGGAGGTTTCAATAAAATGTATTAATAAATGCTCATATACACGTACATTGGAGGTTCCAGAAACCCTAGTTTTGTTTGACAACTGGTATACCTGCGAGCTCTGTGTTCGGATTTTAAAACGTTTTTCATCTAAATGACGTCGTGTATTATGTCAATGTACAACTTTATCGCAAAAAAAGGCGTTGAACGCATTGACCTCGGGTGGCACATCGACAGGAACTTTTCGTAGGCCGCTTTTCCCTCGCTGCTTTCCGCATAGTAGACGCTGCTACTGTGGAGACGCGCCCCTAAACTTGCCTCATCTCTGTTACGTCACGGCGCGGTGGTGGCGCGTCGGTCGCACTTCCGGTCTGGGGCTGTGGGCAGAAGTCCCCGTGTGAGACGTGTATTCCTGCGCTGTTTTGAAAGGAACCAGACAAAAACCTGCCTTCTCGTCAAAACGCCGCGACTGGGGTTGTACCAAAAGAGTCAAGAAAGGTTTGAGGGCCAGTTTTCATGTGCTCGGTTCGTCCGAGAACGATGATATGTGCAGTGAAGAGGTAAAACCCGACGCCGTCGGACCACGATTGCTTGGGCGGGAAGCGCTTTGGGTTGAATTCACGGATACTTGTGGTCATCAGATTTATTTGTTTTGTCCCAACATGAACGCCGGAAAACTGCCAAGTTGTACGGACCACCTGCGGACTACGTTCATTGCGTCTTCAAGTTCAAACGGCCGCCTGATCGTTCGAACTGTCGTCTGCTCTTTCAAACGTTTCTGCTTGTCTGCTTTTTTAGACGACACCGGCCCATAGACCAAACGTGGGCCCGGTACTTGCGATAAGAAGTAAGTACAGGCCTCAAACGACTTAAGTTTGAAGGTTGATAAGGAGGCTCGGTGTAAACAATAGATACAAGGATATATTAATAATTGTTACCAGTGGCCATCACAGACTTGTTATGCCTAGGGTGCCTTCATGTGCGCTATGCTTAGGGTGGCGACATCTGGCCATTTTGTTCCCACTTTTACATTTATTTTTTGTTCAGAAGCGCGTGATAGAGCGTGTCCCTGCACGCGTCTGTGGCGCTGACTGTGCTATGGCGACATTTTGTTTTCGTCGATTTCTTTGTATTTTCCCCGTGAGCGCGTGCTGTCGGCATCGGGTATAGGGTGCCTACATGTCTGTCTGTCTCAGGGTGAAGACATCCATTGTTGCCCTGAATGTGCCAGCGCGTGACGCTCTCGCGCACTCGGTGCGTGACTTGGGTGGCAAAATGGCGTCTATGCGTTAGCCAAAGCTACGCGCTCGAGCTGAGTGACACCGGATTGCGCGCGCTTCAAAATGCATACAAAAACGATTGGGCGGAAAAATGGCTGAGATGTCACCACTCAAGCAAAAGCGCGCGTGTGTATGAAGGCACTCTAATCGGGTACTACAAAGGGTGGCATCTCTAAATAGAAGGTCATTGAAGCACCCTAGTTATGCTTGATTCACTTGGTCCGATTCTGCTTGAGATTTTCAGTATCGACGTCCACCATCTCAGCTACCTTTCACGCTTTTGCAGCCCGAGCGACGTGGCGACTGAAAATTGCGAGCGAAATCTCATCATGCGAGTCAGGCTTTAGCATACATTCTGCGGCTTCCACGCAGAATGAATCTCCGCATGTCACATTGTTCACGCTAAGTTTTGCGGTGTAACGAGCCTCGTTAATTTTGCTGAGGCAACTCAAGTAGTCAAGTATTGCCCAAGAAGACGTAGAATCAACAATTCGAATTCGAAAAAGGACAGGGGGACTCACACCGACGCCGACAACACCGCATTTCAATGGTTTGTTGATGGGCGACGGCGAGCTTCTTGCCCACACCCCCATCGCGCATGCGCGCCCGCGGTGGCGTCCGCTAGAGGCGCTCCGGTTTGTGCGTAACTCAGGATATGAGCTACGCACATATCTTGAGCGGCGCCAAAGGGAAAACGGACGACAGGCACTAGGGTGTCATGGACGAGTAGCCAATGAACTGATAGAAGGCGATGTCGGCTGGTCTTTCTTTGAAGCGAGGGAGGCAAACAGCAAGCTTCAGTACTACACACCTCTCCGGTACATGAACGGAGACCGGTGGACCAGGCGCGTTTTTATGTATATTCACCTGAAGCATATCAACTCGACGTGGAGGAAGAGAGTCACTCGTCTTGGGACAAAGTTTAAGATCTTCAGCTTGGCCACTGAACCTCAAACAGAAAAGGAGTGGATGAGCACAGTGCGGAAGGAAGTGAAGAGGGTTGAGAGAGACCGTTGGATGAGCGGCATGCTACAACACCCTTCCATGCACATGTACGCGTCTCTGAAGACGGAGATTGCCCCGGTGACTTTCTGCGGGAACACACTGGGCAGTCGACTACTTATAGAGGCCCGTGGTGGTGCCCTACGTACCCGCCTATACGTAAGCAAGTACGATAGCAGCGTGACTAGCACGGTATGCAGTGCGTGTGGAGCGGGTGAAGAGACAATCGACCACTTGCTGCTTGCGTGCAGAGCGCTACACCCAACGCCTGTCGTGGGTGCCCGCTTGGAGCAGGCACTTGGTTTCACCAACGAACAGACCCATGTAGTATGCTCCAAGCGAAGGCTCGAGGCATGGTGGCAGACTCGACTGAAAAATCGGGGTCGTGACCAAGACGACCAAGGTGACCAGGATGGCCAATACCCGCTGCTTTACTTTTGGCTGGAGGGGCAAGACTCACTTAAAACGATGGTGTCATGTGAACTGATTAACTTTGACTGTGCGCCAGTGACGGTTGGCGAACTTTGGACACACGTGCTAACCACTTCTCTTTCGTTGTTGTCCTTTTTTATTTAGTTATTCTTTTTTGCTTTTATTGGCATGTCTTAGAAGACTCTCGTTCCAAAGAGATTGTGCCTCAAATATACATACATACATACATACATACATACATGAGTTGGTGTATAAAATCTCGTAGCGGGTTGCAGGGACGTTGCGGGACGCAGAAGACCCACGAAAACTCCATTAAGCCATCGAGATTTCCGTGTGACTGCTCTGCGAAATCGATTGCAGCTAGCAGCTACAGAAAGCTGTAGCGGCAAGTTCACTTGCCAGTTTTCTCGAAGTAATCGGGGTTTCACACCGCCTGGCGCTCTAAAAAGGACGCCGGATATATGCTGAGAAACATGTGATGACAATCTCCAATAATATAACGAAACTTATGTTATCACGCGAAGGCAACACAAAGTTCACACGTTCCCCACTACCATTATTGCAGAGCCGGAAAGGGTCACGTTGTAAGCATATTTAATGAACACCTAATGAGTGTATAATCAAGAAACAAAAAAGAGCGTTTATATTACACACAAAACAAAGGCACAAAACACGAAGCATTCATTCGTAGTAGAACGACTCAGTGCCGTTCATCATAGGCACCCTTTGCTTGGCCATCGTCGCCCAGCTTTGAGACACATTTCTCATCACTCGAGCCGCGTGACCAAAATCCGAGTCACTCCTCACGCCTGTCAACACCGTTGAATTGGACGTGTCGTCACTGGCGTCGTCTTTGTATTCGTACGTCGACGTACCGTTGGCCGGGACCTCAAGATCGGATTGACCCTCTTCGGCATCCGAAGCGGGATAGCTCTCTGTGACGTTACCATAGCTGACGGAATCGTTGAGCCCTGGCATGCTCGACCTAGGGACGTGTCCATCAGGAGACGCGTGCGCACCTTTGATGACGCTATCGTCGTCTCCGAATTCGATTGGAAGCAACGGATCAACGTCGTCTGTTGGCGATGACGGAAGGGCGTGCAAGGACTCGTTGCTTCGCGGCGCGCTGCTCGTGCTCTTATTGGCTGGAAAGGCAGAGACCAGCAGGTCCTTGGAGTGCCACTGGTGCATGGGCTTCTTGGGACGCCTGCTGCGAGGCGGCCGCGTAGCCCTTGTCTTGGAATACCGAGGCAGGGTCACAACCGGGTTGTGCTTTCGGACAACCACGACTGGAGTTCGGACGTGCCGCCGCAGGGATTTCTCTGTCATGAAGACCACTAGGAAGATAGATCTATTGAAAATGCTATGAAATGTGCATTGAGGAAATCGACAGACGTTCCTCAGCTAAAAACAGCTTGGGTACGTTGTTTTTTTTTGTTTTTTTTTAATAACTTAATAAAACGCGACTGTTTTTGTATGTTTTTGTTGTGATCAAATAAAATTGGAATTTCTTTTTCCAGAGGTTTAGTTGTGATGCTAGTGCGCAAACTTTGGAGATGTCTGCTTCTCTTATTGTTAATAATTTCAATACTGAATATACTCAAGTCACATAGTTTTTGTTTAACAAAAGGAAAACAGATTAGTTGTATGAATCATCAGTGTACTCCTATGTTTCATAGAACTCTGCTACTTTAAGTGAAGCACCCTCCGCGCGACTCGAGCGCTGCCAATTTCGAGGTTTCGGCGGTGCTTCCTGCTCTGACTTCGTAGTATAACATTCCCGAAAATTACTCTTCATTTGGAGCCTAATACCCCTGTTACACGGGAATTTATAACTACAGTTAAGCTAACTGCAGTTACTCCGAACTGAAGTTTTGCGCAGTACACGGCTGGCCGAACTGCGGTTAGCAAGAAACCACGCAAACTGAGCTCCACGATTTGTTTGGGCTCGGCAACTGAGCTAAAGATGGCGACGAGTGCCGGCTACCGAAGCACTAACTATTTCGGAATGCCAGGGGACGCACCCAGAAAACCGTGGAGACAAATGTCGCGGAAAGAAAGATGCCTCGAAGGCAGATATGCAGGTAAAGCAATTACGCCATGTCGCGGGGCGCGGCGAAACCCGGGCGCTGTCATTGATTCTGGTCAATGGAAGTGCGGCTTCCCTCATGTCGCACATGTTTGTATTTATTTTAGGGGTCTTAATAATCATTTGTTACGCACCACAAAGAAATTTATGGGTCTAATTACTCGTTTTAAACAATTATAATGATTATGAAAAAAAAGCGTGTCCTTGACCTGATCACGGGACATTGGAGTTGG